TGACCACCTACAAATTGGGGCTTCCTATCACTCCCTCTTGAGGCTCAATCACTTGCTAGAATGGCTCACAGAAATCAGGAAAACACATTAACCAGTTTATTATAAAGGATATTACAAAGGATACAAATGAGCAGCCACATGAACAGGTACAAAAGGAAAGGTATGTGAGAAGGGATGCTTCCATGTCCTTGCTGGGTGTGCCACCTGCCCAGCACTTCCGTGTGTTTGGCAACATGAAAGCTTTCCAAGCCTTGATCTTTTGGGTTTTTATGGAGTCTTCATTATATTGGGCTGATGGATCACATCAGTGTCCATTGCTGATCAACTCAACCTTCAACCTCTCTCCCCTCCCCAGAGGTCAGGGGGTGAGACTGAAAGTTCCAACTCTAATCCCAAAGTGGTTCCCTTGGCAACCAGCCCCCATTCTGAGGCTATCCCAGAGCCCTTAGCCATAAGTCATTTCATTAACATACAGAAAGACGCTTATCACTTTGGCAATTCCAAGGGTTTTAGGAGTTCTGTGCCAAGAACTGGATGAAGGTCAAATATGTATTTCTTATTATAAATCACAATATTTCACAGGGATAGTAAAAATTACCATGCAATCTGAAACTGTGCAAAACAGTCTTAATAATCAATGGGAAACATTATGATTGTTCTTACAAAAGGTCTTTAAAACCTTTTGTCCAGGCATTAAATACTGTTAATATAGTTTACAAATATATAGGGAAATGAAAAAACTGGTAAAACTAATAGTTATTTTTGTATATGGTAATATTAAACATTAGAAACATTGAGAATTAAGGCTTATTTTAATTTAAAAAAAAATATCAAGGTTAGGTTGAACAATGCTTGCCTTCTTTTCATGATATGTTGTTAAACAGTGTGAACATCTTTTCTGTGCATTAGTGAATTGTCATTTTCCTTTTAAGTTTAGATCCACTTCCAAATTTTATCTTTTGTGCTTTCAGTGTCATATCTCTGAAAGTTCCTTTAATGTGAGGTTTATTGCCAGCAACTTCCTCTGGGACATCTTCGTTCTTTTCATCACACTTTCCTCATTTATGTATATAATTCTGCCTTCACTAAGTCCTCTGGAAGCTTATCTAGAGTCTTTCTAGTAGTAGCAGTGTCAGCATTTCCATGGGCAGCAATTTTTTCTATTATTCCATTTACATTAGATTCAAATTTATTTTGTACAATATGCTTGTATTAGTCAGGGTTCTCATAGGGGAACAGAACTAATAGGAGATATATGTGTGTGTGTGTGTGTGTGTGTGTGTGTGTGTGTGTGTGTGTGTGTGTGTGTATACACATATATATAAGCTTATTAAGGTCCCACAGTAGGCTGTCAGCAAGCTGAGGAGCAAGGAAGCCAGTCCTAGTCCCCAAACTGAAGAACTTGGAGTTTGATGTTTGAAGGCAGGAAGCATCCAGTACTGGAGAAAAATGTAGGCTGGGAGGCTAGGCCCGTCTCACCTTTTCACATTTTTCTGCCTGCTTTACATTCGCTGGAAGCTGATTAGATTGTTCCCACCAGATTAAGGGTGGATCTGCCTTCCCCAGCCCACTGACTCAAATGTTAATTTCTTTTGGCAACACCCACACAGACACACCCAGGATTTATACTTTGTATCCCTCAGTCCAATCAAGTTCACATTCAGTATTAACCATCACAGTACTAAAAGTTTATTCTATGCTGTATGCATATTACCTATTGTTACTTTCTGCCATGATGCTTGAATGTTTTAAAATGTCATATTTCATCTAGAACACAGGTAAAGAAACTGCATGATCACCAGTTGTAGCATGAATAGCCTATTCAAAAGTCTGTGTAAGATAATACACTTTAAAAGTTGAAATAACTCCTTGGTCTACAGGCTGGATTAATGACGTTGTCCTTGGTGATATAAAACAAATTTTCACATTTTAATTTCAATCCCCAAGAGAATTAGGGTGACCAAGAGCATTACCCAATAGTTGTAGTGCTTTAATGGTTAAATTATTTGGTGTATAGTATCTGTCTACTGCTGAGAGACAGGAAGGCAACACATATTTTGCTGTCTGTGTTGCCAAATAACAGATGGGCAATGACCAATCCTTGACAGACTTTGAAGGAAGTGATGTGACCGGTTACTGATCACAATGTGCATCTATTATTCACATTGTGTTATGTGGACTGAAGAAACTGAGATGCAGTTACTCAGTTAAGGTAACTGAAATTTGAGCCAGGTTGTTGGGAGACTAATGTTGTTTAATAAAACATGACAACTGAAATGTGCACACATTGGAATTGTGCAAGGTGACAACCACCAAGACTAACTTCAATACATGTTTTTATAAAAAAGAAAAGAGAGAGAGAAACCTTAATCATATAATTTTCATTAAATACCTTCTCTAACTTCTGCGTCTGAACATAAATCTGTAATTTTTATTTTAAAAAATTCCTAGTATTTATGACTCCCTGCTGAGTACACAACCCCAAACTATTGATAGAGACTTTTATGCAATTCTAAAAAATTTATTGACTGCATTATATATGTAAGACCCAGTACTAGACTTCTTTTTTTTTTTTTTTTTGAGAAACAAACTCTGTTACTAGATCTCTCACATATATGGATTCCTGCCCCCGCAAACACACATCCACAGAGTAACACAGTTGTGTACACTTGGCATCCCAGGAACATAACCATCCCTGCATACGAGGGGCCTCAAAGGATGTTGAAACAAATTTAACCAGTTTACTGATAATAAGAGGAAAAATGTAATGAACATGTATTTTATGACAGGTGCTGTGCTACGTTCTGAACATTTCATTTTAGAGCAACTGCACAAGGCAGGCATTATTAGTATCCTCACTGTAAATATAAAGAATCACTGGCTTAGAGAGAATTTCTATGATGTGTTAATATAAAAGGAAAAATTTTTACTTAAGCAACACTTTCCTAAGAGCTGTTACTCAAAATTGAATGCTGTGTTTCACCACAACTGGTCCTAACCAGCTGAATCTGTTAAGGTGATGAAGTTTGAATGACCCTGGTCAGAATCAGACTGGTCCTAATTGCATTAGATTTTCTCCTGACCCATGGGCAATAGTACTTGATTTGCATAGCTGCACACAGACTTGTGCACTCATCCCACCTTCTCCATAATGCAAATTTTCAACCCTTAGTGAGTATAATCATCATGACCCACTATCACCAGCCCTCCTTTTGTCACTGATTTTTTTCTCCTCAGCGTGCTACTCAGTGAATTTCTTCTCTCATGTATTGCCTTGCCTGTCAGATAAATAAAATCTGCTCTGTTTTTTGAGCTGTGGTGGTCTGTGTTTAATTTATTGATACCCAAGATAATACAGTTAGTAAGTTACAAAGCTGGAACACGAATCCATTCTAACTGACTGCAACCCATATGCTTAATTTCTGTGTTCAATTGTTAAATAAATAATAGAAGGAAACTGCATTCAAGCTAACTAGTTTTAACATAAAAAAAGGATGCTGACCAGGTACAGTGGCTCACGCCTGTAATGCCAGCACTTTGGGAGGCTGAGGATTACTTGAGGTCAGGAGTTTGAGACCAGCCTGGCTAACATGGTGAAACCCCATCTCTACTAAAAATACATAAATTAGCCTGGTGTGGTGGCGGGAGCCTGTAATCCCAGTTACTCGGGAGGCTGAGACAGGAGCATCACTTGAACCCAGGAAGTGGAGGTTGCAGTGAGCTGAGATTGTGCCACTGCATTCTAGCCTGGACGACAGAACAAGATTCTGTCTCAACAACAACAACAAAAAAAAGGATGCTAATTCTACAAACTTACTCCACCTAACTCAAATTCATTTTTCCCTTTACATTGGTAGAATCTTCACCCCTGGGGATTCCTTCCTATTATAATAATATAATAGGAATAGTAAGAACAGTGTAGTAATAATTTCAACAACACCAACACCAGCTGCAATGTATCTGGTGCTTACTCTGCGCCAGGCCCTTTTTTCCCAGCTATCTCAAACTGGGCATTGAAGTGTCTTGTTGCCTTGTGATAACTTCAATGTACATCCATACGATTCCTTTCTGTAGATCTGGAGTAAAGCCAGCTAAGTATGGACTGGTCGGGATTGTGACAAACTGGAGGCAAACCGAAGAACTGTGCCCATTTGAAGGCAGCAACTATTAATTCACTTCCATTACTCGTTATGGAAGAATACAGACCCAGTATTGACAGATCTTTCTCTTTTTCAAGAGGCATCAAAAATCTGGGTCATTATGTAAAATTTTAAATACTTAAATAATTTAACACTTTCTAAAATACCACTGTATAAATCAAACAAAACACATCTGCAGGCTGAAATGAGCCCTGTCCATAGAACCTGCTAAGAGGCAGGATAATACAGTGAATCTCTACTGTCTGCATTTAATTCCCAGGGTTATTTTGTGTGACCTTGAAGAAGTTAGCCCCTTTGAGCTTCAACTTTCTTATGTGTAGAATGGGCTTTAAAATATTACACATCTTAAGGAGTTTTTATGAGGAAGAGAATTGTTTTTTTTTTCTTTACTCTCTAAAATGCTTAATAAAATACCTAACATTTTATCAATGTTTTTCTTTTTATTGTTTCTCCCAACTCAATCATCCCCTGGTCCTGCCTTCTCTACCCTTCTCCTTACCCCATGACAGTTATATTCACTTGTTCCAAGGATACACACTCTGAACATCTGGCTACAAAGAACACCTAAGTTGTAAACAAATGAAAAATTATTTTGTTGTTTTCAATGGCTATTAAATAACAGATAAATTTAGAAAGGGAAAAAATAAACTATATTTATTTTACCAAGTTAAACCACTTATTTGATGGTATTAAATCATTTGAACTGGTAAATTAACTTATATAATATGTTGTCAACACATGAATAATTTTTATTTTGGTGAATTTGGGATATGTGGCTTTTTCAGAACATTTTGCCATCTAAACTTTTAAAATGTCTAACTAATGTATTTAACTTTTCAGTTTATCTTTATTAGAAGAATTTGACTGTAGCTGTAATGAACTGGAGTCATTACCTTCTACTATTGGCTACCTTCATAGTCTTCGGACATTAGCAGTTGATGAGAATTTCCTTCCAGAATTACCCAGAGAAGTGAGACATATACTTGTTTTCTATTTATTAACTTTTAACTAATCTGTTTTGGAATAAAATCTTAATGGGTAGAATAGCAGTGTAGATTCATGAGTTGAGCTGTGAATAATATTGGAATTATCTACATATATATTTGCTAATTATTCTATTTTAAATGGCAAGTTCTTATATTTGACCCAGAAAATGCGTTTGACTTAAATCTCACATGCAAATAAAAGTAAGAAAATATAAGTCAATTCATGCTAAGAAATATCATTTAAAGTCACTTAATTTCTATCTTTTGGTTTTCAGAATAGTTATAAATAGTATTTTGGAGTAATTACATTTTTATTTCTGTAGCAAACTTTTTAAATGTACATATGCTTTTTAAGGTATCATGTTGCATTATAATATTAGTTTAACTTCCGAATCCACCAAGAGATTCTGTTAATTTTTACATCTAAGTGGTATTTTACTTACTAATATCAAAAAACTATGAAGTATATTTTTTTAATTTACTTTGTGCTCAAGTTTGCTGTTTGTGAAGTACATTTTCAATTGAGCATTTTCTACTAAACACTCTTATGATGATACAACAATAAACAATACATAATTATTTTAGAGCCAAAATATATTATTAAAAATGACAAAAAACACTGTAATGTGAAGCAAAACTAAGTTTGCCTAGGAAATGTCAACAATATTGTATTTTTGAGTGTGTATGATCTTCTGTTATAAACAAAGATGTATTAGTACTCACTTCGACAGACAAAATTATATGATATATGAAAACACTAATGTTAGCAAGTATTTTAAGCATAAAATTATAAAGAAAATTCTTCATTTTTAATATGTAAAAGAAAATCTAGTATAAATTGCCTTAATATCTAAAAGAATTTATATAATATACATATATTTTAAAGAGATACATTATAAAAATAAAACAATGCACATATTAAAAGAAAGTTAAAAATAAGAAAATCTATTACTCAAATTGTTTTAAAAATTAGAAATTTTAATATTAAAAATAGTATTGTGTTCTGATTTTTTTAACCTATTTTATTTTGTTACCTACAGATTGGAAGTTGTAAGAATGTAACAGTCATGTCTCTACGCTCCAACAAATTAGAATTTCTTCCTGAAGAGATTGGACAGATGCAGAAACTAAGAGTCTTAAATTTGAGTGACAACAGGTATTTTTACAACATTTCACAATCATATATTAGTTATTTGCTGAAAGCAAATTATAGTTTTTTTGCCTATAGTTTTGATAACATTTTCTGCCTTTCATAGTATATGGAATGCAAATACTGATACTTTCTTTAAAATAGCAGAAGGTAAATTATTTTTTAAACCAGGTATTTCAAAATTATGTTATTTGATTATATCAAAAGCATATGTAATGTATTAAAATTATATAAATATGAATCACACAAATTTATACACAAAAGGCTTCCCATATGCAGAAAGCATAATAATATGAAGACATGGAAAATAACTATAATAAAAATACATAAAATATATTAATAAAAATGTGCATATGTATGTATGTATGCACACATATGTGTTTTCATGTCTATATTTTGGTCTCCAACAAATTAACTGGGAAATGTGTATATTTTCAATTCCATCAAAGTGCTAGTAAGAATACTGACAGTGAAATGGCTATTTAGTCATGTTTAGAGCAGGATGAACAAGGAAAGGATAGATCCTTTACTTCTAATAATGGCATTATATTGATAGATGAGTAAAAAGAAAAAGTGCAAACCTCAATTCGTCTTTGTTTCCACCTACTCTATAAAAGATAATTATCCTCAAATAGGAAAGGATAAAAACAAATATTGACTAGAGATAACTGCTAAGAAAATAAAATGATCACTATGTTTTCAATAAGTTTCAGCCAGACAATTGATAATACAAGGGACTGAGAGAACTTGCAATGAAATGATCAAAGATTAGCTTTTATGGAATCACAAGAATAATCAGATTTTGGAAGTTTCAGGATAAGCATTGGAATTCTCATTTTTTTCTTAGTTTAAGGAAAAATGTGAATTTCAAAGCTTCACTTACTGGTTAATAATATTCCCACATAAGGGAATAAAACATTTTATTTAAAAGTTTGGAATTTTATTTATAGTATTGGGGGCAAGGAAGCACCAAAGCTTTATGCATCAGAGCAAGTCACGTCAAACCAACCTTGCTTCCTCTTCCAACTGTGTTACTATCCTGGAAAAATGAGGAAAATGTATTGAAAGTTGTTTCTGACTTTTGGCAAGACATTTTTAAAAATCTCTAATTATATTCATATAAATAAGATTAGGAAATTCTTGGTATTATGAATGAAAATAATTCATTCATAATATGCAAAATATACTTAGCAAATATTGTCAATGATCAATAATTAGAAGTTCTATTAATACTTTGAACATACTTATTCAACAACTGTAGCAGACTTGAGTTCACCTACAATGAGCCAGACACACTGCTAGGTGCTGGGGCAAAATTTATGAATAATACATAGAGGAGCTCACAATATGAGAAGTTTAAAATAACTTCATCAGGACAGAAATATAAGCTTAAGTTATGTCCTAGTACAGTTGCTGGAACATACTCTGGAGCCAAATTAGTATTTTTAAATTAATAAATCAATCAGTAAATCAAGCAGAGGTGAAAATAAATATTCAGCTAAAGTTAAGGCCAAAGTTAAATATTACCACCAGAGAAGGAACTGTTTGGAGAAAAGATTAAATAAGAAATGTCATCCAAAAGTAATGATTATTATAATTTCATATTTAAAATGTAATAGATTTTTAAAGTTTGACATTGTAGTTAGGAGCAGTGATTCCTCTGCCTTGTCAGCTGCAAGATTGCTCCTGTTGTCAATGTACTGCACATTTATGTTACCAAATAAGAGCTCACTTGAAATAGAGATCACTGGAAAAGGAAAGAAAAACAAGGGTACCTTGTCCTTTTCTAGCAGTTCCTTCATATTCTACATTTATGACTGGATTGATGATGATATTATGGATGTTGTTTACATGATTCTGGATAGTTTTGAACTCATGTAATTTCAGTGCAGGAGAATTGACATTCTGCTTTTAATGTAGCCCATACAATGTAAGAAACTCTCCCAATAAGATCTTACTTCACAATTTCTGGCTTGAGTGAATTGAAATAACTTTTAGTTAGGAATAACTTTTATGGGTAATTTGGCTTGAAGTTATAAATGTTACTGTAACAATTATAAAAAAAGACTTGTGATATAATTTAATAACAGTTATTCTTCATATTCATGTTCATATTTTATAAATATTTATTAGCTCAGAAAGGTTATTATATTTTTTCTAAAGTTATATAATGCACAGTTTTAATATTTTTATTGCCTTTCAATCTCTTTTCATATTTATTAGATTTTTAAGAAGTGTTTAACTGCTTTTGCACATAAACTATAAAATTAATTTTTAATTACTGTAAGATTGCCCACTTCCATTATCAAAATAAATTTATTTGTCTACTGGCTGACAGAATGCTAATACATTAAAGACAAGAAAATTTTCCTTCTATATTATATCTAAAATGTTTATCTGTATTCAAAAGTGAATATCCAGAAGTTAGTAATAAGTCTCATTGGCATGCCTTGTTTGTACTACTTGCTTTGCTAGCTAGCTTTGATGGTAACCCATGTGATCACAATGTGTTGATCATGCACAATTTGAAGGATATCAGATAGTGTGAAGTATTTTGGCCCTCCAAAGGCTGAAGCCAAAGCTAAATATATAATTTTGATTGAATACCAAGGCTAATATCAAGCTATACATCTTAGAAGTGCTAATTTTTTAAAGATTACCCCCTTTGAATATCTACTACACATTGCATGAAGGTCAAAAGAACATTCTTGCTGAAGGTCAACATACTACTGGGAGCTGTACGTTCCTTTAGAAGTAAAACAAGCATGGCCCTTTGCCCTCATGGAGCCTACAGTTTTGGAGGGATAGCAAAGAGTAAGCAAATTATCACAAAAATAAATGTGTAATTAAAAACTGCAATGTGTTCCCTGAAGGAAAATACAAGGTGCTTTGAAACCAGATTGAGGGAAGTAATTTAAATGAGGAGTCAAGAAAAGCCTCTTTGAGAGGACGGTATTTAAGCTAAGAATGAATGGATATGTGGGGTTCAGTAAAGTGAAGTATGGGAGAGAGTGTTCCAAAGAAAAAAGCAGGCTGATAGAGCCAGTTGTCCTGATGGGACTGAGTCAGGAAAAGAGTTGCAGATAAATTTCTGGAGGGTTTTTTAGGGGCCAGACCTTTTAAGCTCTAACCATACATGTTAACCATTTTTTATTTTTATTCAGATATAATGGAAGTATTTGAAGGGTTGTAAATAGGATATTTTCATTTTTTAAAATACTGTTCAGGCTGCTCAGTGGAAAATGGATTCGAGAAAAGAATGAAACCAAGAAGTTAGAGTATGTTAAATAATTCTTAGAAATGAACTTTTATCCATCTTTACCCATGCTATTAGACTTTTTGTGTTTTTGCAGATTGAAGAATTTACCATTCTCATTTACCAAACTTAAAGAGCTTGCAGCTTTGTGGCTTTCTGACAATCAGGTAAAAGGTTTTATTGCCTGATTTGTTTATTAAGATGAACTATAATTGAAAATTTGAATTACTAATTTATTCCCCATAGATACCTTTGACAGCCACTACAAAATGTAGGTTGTTTTTGTCCCCTGAAAGAGAGATTTTTGTAAAGATAGCAATTCAAACATTGCTGAAGTCAAAACAGTACTGTAAGCCCCACCCTCCTTAAATACTTCTATTTAACATCTACTTCATTCTCTGAGATCTAATACACAAAACGATCATTTTTATAGCTTTTTAACCTCTAGGTGGTACATGTATGTCCTTAGGGGATGTACTTTAATTATATCTCTGAAGGTAAAGTATAAGAAATTGTTACCACAATCCCCACAACAGGGAATTATTATCCTCTGTGTTCCTTTTTCTTCTTATCCTTTTAATTATAATCAACTTAATTCAAAAACTTCATTCAAGAAATTTGAAACATCAGGCCGGGCGCAGTGGCTCATGCTGTAATCGCAACACTTTGGGAGGCTGAGGCACACAAATCACTTGAGGTCAGGAGTTCAAGACCAGCCTGACCAATGTGGTGAAACCCTGCCTCTACTAAAAATACAAAATTAGCCAGACACAGTGGTGCATGCCTGTAATCTCAGCTACTTGGGAGGCTGAGGCAGGAGAATCGCTCGAACCCAGGGGGCACAGGTTGCAGTGAGCCTAAATCACACCACTGCACTCCAGCCTGGGCGACAGAGTGAGACTCTGTCTCAGAAAAAAAAAAAAAAAGGAATTTGCAATATCTTTTTGGCAACTATTAGTATTTTCTATAAAATTGTTTTGATATTATTTTTTATCCTCTTGAAAACGTATTTTAATTGAATCAGTAATATTGCATTAGTAAATAATTTTATTAACTGGAAAATAACAAGAAACCATTGAAGGTTTCTGATTTACCTACAGAAGAACTAATGATAGACAATTTTTATACAGTTTATTGGTCCTCTTTTGTCTTGTGATCCTTAAATTTTGATACACCTATCCTCAACTATGAATGGCTAAATGAAAACAATTCATCTTGGATTTAGTTCATCATTTTCTGAGCATAAAAGTAGCATTACTGGTACGTGAATTATTCATACTTACAGTCATTGGACACTTTTGTGGAAAATTTAAAATAACCTTTACAAATTATAAAATGTAAATCTAAGAATATTGTTTGTGTTCCTACAGTAATTACAGCATTTGCTTCCATCTACTGAGTCAAAAATTAGTAATTCAAATTCAAATCTTATCAATAAACTGTAGATTTTTCAAGGTATCAATATATCATCATAAATAATTTCTGGAATCAATGTGAACTATGCTAATGTAATAGTATATTCCACAATATTGCATTGTGGGAAAAAAATATGATTTATTATTCTTATGAGAGAATGAACAGAGCAGTGACTGCATCATTTAACTTTTATTTAGAACATTAATGTAATGTGGTTATGATTCAGTTTCATAAGACAAACTGATATCAAAAATCCCCTTTGTGTTTCACTCCTATTAATATCATTAAATAAGCAGATTTTTAGTATATTAGATAATATCATTTCCAATATATTTCTGACATGGAATGTAGGAGTTCTAGAATACCCCTTCAAAATGAATATTTCTGAAATCAAATTAATAACAGAATGAAATATGCACAGAGGTCAGTATATGATGATATATATTAGGTACAAGTACAGTTGCTTATCTATAAAGTGGACTCTGTCTTTGGCTATAAAAATATCTCATAAATAAATGAATGCTTTTTTAACCTAATTAAATTCATAGATGATCTTGCATAGCATAAATTTGATAGCAAATTTCATTTGTCTTTCTAGGGCAACAATCCATGAAAATGAATAGGCATATAGAACCATAGCAAAACCTTACTTAGTTGAAACAATTTAACACATTTTGAACTCTTCAGGATTAAATCTGACATTGCTCAGTTGAATAGGTTTTGGTAAGTTTTGTAAAAGGGTATACTAAAGAAGAAGAAAACTTTATTATGAAAATCTTAGGATATGAAAATATTCCTCAGTAATAGTGTTATTTCATGTTGTAATTTCTTATTTTATTTCCTTTTTTTTCACTGTTTTTTCCCCAATGTTTATCTGGGTGAGACCAGACTATTGACTGTTACATATTTGCAATTGTATTCATCTAAGTTGTATGTTCTTTGCTTCTAGTCCAAAGCCCTTATCCCTTTACAAACAGAAGCCCATCCAGAAACAAAGCAAAGAGTATTGACTAACTACATGTTTCCCCAGCAGCCTCGTGGTGATGAAGGTAAATTGTCAGTAGAAATTTCTTCTCTACTTATAATGATTATGGATAGAAATGACTAATTTTATTCGAATCTCTGGCCAGGAGTACTGGCACATGGACAAGCCTATAAAGATAATTACATGATACACAAATATCATTTGGGGATATACTTTAAGCATAAGTCTTGTTTTCTACTCTATTTTAGGTAAGCTTCCAAAACAAAACTCTTCATCTTTATATCTTACATAAAAATATTGTTGATTTTTAGGAGCAACTATTTCTCTTTATGGATTGCAAGACACATGACTAGTAAAGCAAATCTGGTACCCAGCTAACGGAAATGAGCTAAGAGCAGTCAGATCCTAAGGAAGTTTCAATGAACTGGTTTAGTTGCTGTGTTCACTTATTGCATGAACACAATTTAAACATCTAGTCCAATGATCTCTAGACTCAAATTATTTCATGATCTAAGTTAACCATAAATAGATACTTGCAAATAAGACCATTCTTTCTTTTTCAAGTTGAGTTCCCCTAACCAAAACCCCAGATCAAACCCCAAATCCTTTTTCAATAATTAAATCTTCTCTTCTATGATCACATTATTCATTTAAAAAGGTTAAAAGAGCTTTGTCCTTTGCTATTTGAAACTTAGTGTAGGCTCCTTAGCCCAAACCAACACAAGCTGATATGCACATTTTCTACAGTTATAGAGTAAAAATAATTCTTGGAAGAGTAAACTTATTTTAATCCAGCCATGGATTAAATCTACCCAATCCATGTGAATGAGGCCAACTTGTAAAAGAAACCATTTGTTTATGTATTTTTTATTTCCAGGGATAATTATAATAAATTACTTTGGTCTTTGACCTCCAAATGTAAGTGAATCATTTTGGAATTTTTAGGATATTTTTCTTTAAATTTTGTCTATATAAATAGGAAAAGAAAAGATTGTTTTAATATGCATTTTTATAAGTCAATAAAATTAATCTTTTGAATTGATAAAAGAAAAGCCCCCATGTTTATATATTTTATAAGAGACATCTTAAGTAAGGATTATGTTATATTCATGCAGCTTTACTTATGTTTTCATTTTAATAGCTCTATATTATCAAAATATTTAACTTCAAAAGAATATAGGGGAAACAATGAAAAGTATCTCATATTCACTGGTCATTTCTGAGATGTGATCTCACAGATTGAATCCCTAATTTGTCCCAACGTAGATTCAGTTAGGTAAGATGGAGTGTTAAAGAATTAGCCTAGCTGAGTTTGCTTTTATTTCTGCTTTTTTCTTTGAGAAAAGAAAGGTTGGTAATTGAAAAGTTTCCTTGAATTTAAAGTAAGTCATCCTTTGGTTTTCCAGGCAGGAGTGTAATAAATGAGTTTTCAGAATCCCTTGTAACAAAGAAAGACATGTATGATAAAGGACCTCCTTTGGAAAAGAATTTAGCCTTAACTAAGTACTTCCACTGCATTTTCATGTGATCTTTACCATAATGTTGCAAAGAAAATATTATCATTAACCAACATTTTATGTAAATTAAAGATTTATAAGCCATTTCCTTGTTAATTTGACATATTTAAACTAATTGAAACAGACTATATTTTCCACATTCTCTACCATAAAAACAAGCTCCCCTCATTGACCCCACAATAAAAGGAAAAGGTTGCAATCTTAGATACCTTATTGCAAAGTAAATGTTATAATGTTATGTGGTAACTTTTATAAAAGAAATTTTTATAGAGTTTAGCAGTTACAAATAAGGATTCTATTTAGACAGGAACAGAATCCTGCACTAGCCACTGAGAAGTCTCCTAACACTTTGGGCAAGTCTCTTCAAACTCATTAGTAAAATAAGGATGAGATTAGTAGTACCATTATGTTGTTGTAAGGATTGAAAAAGATAACGCTTTAAAATGATCGCTCCAACTCTGTATATTATTATATTGTCCTATGGGGAGCCCATTTCCTACACTAGAAAATTTCCCAATCCTGAGTATTTTAGGAGTACTGAATTTGAGTTAAGATTACAAAAGGCCATGTAATAAATATCAAGGGAATTTTATTCTTTTGTTTCTCTTTCCTTCTTTGTCTTTCTTTTTTTCTTTATTTCTTTCTTCTTTATTTTTGTACTTGTTCGTAGTATCTATCACCATTTTTGCATACTGTATTAAATACTTTGTATAAAATTGTTTTTTTAAAAAGCAATAATACTTTGGAATCTAACTGTAGATTTCCAGTCAGACAGTGACAGCTTTAACCCTACACTGTGGGAAGAGCAGAGACAACAACGCATGACTGTTGCCTTTGAATTTGAAGACAAAAAAGAAGATGATGAAAATGCCGGGAAAGTTAAGGTGAACCTTTTAGCTTTTGTTTCCTCTTTCTTCTCCTTATCTTTTTGTTTGCCCATTGTTCTTATTCAGATAGATTTTGGGACAAAGTCAGACACCTCTTCAAGTCTCATGGCGGTACCTTTCATTACAGCATGCTGGTAGTTCTGGAAGCATTGGTGTGCTTCAGAATGAGACTAATGTCCCAAATCTGAGTGAGCAAATTTGAAATGCCACCTCATCCAACAGAATAACTGCATGAGAGAGATTCAAGCTGAGAGAAAGTAGAAAAAAAAATCTGTATGATCGACTTCATCTAAGAACCTTATTTCATTGTTGACACACTACACACTACAATGATTTTTTTTTTAATCACTGAGCAAAGCATCATGCAGACTGAATGAGGCCAAAATAAACATTTCTGGAAGGGCCAACAGATTAATATATTGCATTGGCATTAAAATCTCTGAAAGGTTCTGTGTCTTTGGGCTATTCAAGAAGAATTTATGAGTTTCCTTAAATGTGAGGACAAATTTTAAGGAAGATTAGTGCCTAATGGCAGGCGATGTTCCTTAGGGAACATAACTTCAATTTTTTTTTTTTTCACCTCAAAGTGTATTTTAAAAGGTCTTTTATAGGGACTACTAAGTCAAGTAACAAGATTGAATTTTAAAATCTATATTTCTCCATTACTTAAAATTTTAATTATCATCAGAATTGATTTAGATTTTATCAGCATCACATTTTCACATTGTCATGGCAGCATCTTGAATCTCTCATTTACTTTTTATAACATTGTATGTGTACTTTTTCTATCATGGCTAACAGCTCTCACTCTTAGTGACTAATTACCTTTATAATTGCATATATGTTCTATTAATAAAGCTAGATTGTGCGTTATGTTTGTCTCCGTCCTCTCCTTTCCACATTTTCTAAACTTTATTTCTTAAATCAGCACATGAGCACTTACTGGCAAGGCCTACTAATATCGTTACGGAGAACGCAAAATGGATTCCCAAATCCAAAATAACAATTTTGTTAAAGATTTGGGTTTAAAAAAATGTCTCTGGATAGTTGATTAGTACTGTCTAACAGCCAAAGAGACATCTTTTTGAACTTGTGAATTCCTGGAAAAAATAATGCTAAACTGAAAACAAACCTTCAGAACATTTCAGTTCTTTTACGGATTTCTTATGTTAAATCCAGAACCAATGGATGATGCATTCTGTACCAGACTTCTGATTCATCTTTATATTTCATTGAATTACCAAAAATTACATGCTTCTTCCTGAAATTCTATATTCAAAGAATGCAAGAAGAAAGTGCATTTAATATACTCTGGTATATGTGTCAATGAAAACTTAAAATATAGTAAATGCTTATGGTTATTTAGAAGCCCTGTTTGTGTGTTATGTGTTCAAGTTTGTTTATAATCAGAGTAGGTTCATTATACTTTAGAGTGTTTTTACTCTGTGTTTATTTACATTTGGTTTATTTATGTATTAATGAAACAGTGTGTGTTTCAAAATCTCAAACTATTCAGTTTTGACTAATTTGAATATTTCCAATGCCATTGGCTATTGGACAAATTAGAGCACAAACAAACTTCTAAATAAATCATCATCATGGAAGTATGATGAATAGAATATATTGTAATCTTACACTGAATTAATCACACTTTTCTGGTTCATTACATGTACATTAAATTCAGCACCATTTTACCTTTAATTTACATGAAATTTAAAAAGGAATCATTGACCTATGCTTTCCACTTTCAAATGGACTAGAGTATAATGCCCTACTTATAGTCTGTATAGTGTAGTATGAATGCTGCATTGTGTGAAGAAATTGTGACCCTTTAGCATCATATAAAATTAGTACTGTTTTATATGTGGATTGAAAACTAATTTTATGATCATTGTTTTAAATGCATAACTCAGAGTGAAAGAAAAAGAGACTAGAAAAATGATAAAGTGAAAGTATTGCTACAGTGCTCCTCTTTCTCCCAGAAAATGGAGATTCCTTCTCCCACAGGATCTCTCCTGCCAAGCCCCCTGGGAAAGGGGCCAGCGTGGGATTACTCTCCAACCTGCCAGACTGTCTGGCGATTGCTGCACACCATGGGCCAGGTGTGATCAGCAGATCCAAGATATGCCCGTCCCCCAGAATGACCCACAGCTGGCATGGGGTTGTATAACTGGCCTCCAGCAGGACAGGAGCATGTGTACTCCATTGCCAGTTGCAGCACAATCCACCACTCTTCCCTCTCTAAGTGGCAGACAGGTAGGCCTAGGTGTCTGGGGTAGGAGAATCTCCCATGTAGAGGCAACCTTGGAACAGTGGTTTATGGGGTATGTTCTGCATGATTTGGGGTAAGAAATGTTGATCACATAGAAACCTTCAAATTGGCAGTGTTTTATCTCAATTTAACATTTTGTTTATTGACATTGGCAGTGGGGTGGGGAGGACTGAGCCAGAGGGGAGGGAAAATCAATGTGAGGTGCCTATTGGTGGGATATCTGGCATGGTTTTTGAGTTGAGTACTTTTTTTTTCTTTAATTTAAAGTGTGGGAATACCAATAGTTGGGCAGAATGTTGATGACACTATTGATGCATTCTAAATTGTCCCCTCCACATATATGCACATTTTTTATAATGTGAATTCTGGGGGAGATTAAATAGCTAAAACTTAATTCTTAAAATAGCATCAGATTAAATTGAGATTTACTGAGAGTGGCCTTTAAGCACAAAGATAGACAATCTGTTGAAAAGCATCAATTTCCTTTCATTTGAAGACACAGATCATATGAATTCCTGTAAGAGAAGATTGAATTGGGAGTTGTGGCAAGTAGGGCTTCCTTATCTTTGTGGTTGGGTGTTTTAAGAGGTTAATGGGGGGGAAAACATGTTTTATGGAATATGAAAGAACACTGCATGTCTTGTAAACTTTACTATCCACATGTAATGGACTAGATACTTATCCATTGTCTTATATTTTTGCTATAATATAAGGCAAGCTGAGAATGCATTTTCCTAACTAAAACTGCTGTAAGTTTCTTTTCTTTGTATATCATTCCAACTAATTCTCAAAGTAATATAATATTTAACTATCAATGATCAAAGTATTAACTAATATTTCTCTTACTGGAATTTGCAATCAAATCAAATTAGAATTTGATCATGATGTGAAATATAATATATTATATTACGTAATATAATATAATATATAAAAAAACAGTTCTGTGTGAATTCAAGATATCATTTCTAAATGCCCTAAATACCCTAGCTATTAACCTTAAGTGATTCTTTATTGCTAAATTTTTGGGGGTCTCCAACATCTTGCAGCTGCTATTTGCATTTACTGCACTTTATTTACATCTAAGATACAAAGAATGCTGTGAAACATTTCTGTTCTTCAAAATTAAAGTAATATTTTAGTTAAAATCTTGCATTTTAATCAAATGTATATGTGAACTGAGCAAATACTTTATAGTGAGTGATCAACACAACACACTTTTGCAAGAATATAATTGATTTTCCTACCTTTGTGTATAATAAATGAATTTATATATTTTATCTCATATTGGAATAAGAAAACATTTATAGTCTATATATTTAGATATATAGAAAAATTGCTCTTGTATTTGGGTATTACTTAACTATTAGTATAACTGGGTTTATGATCATATTCACTTCTGATGCACTGCATATATCCACTGAAAAATAAAGCAAAGCAATCTATAAATGGGCATAAAATTTGCTTGCGTAGAGCTTCGAAACATAATACAATGATAAAATATAGTTTTATCTTTAAAAATTATAAAATATTGTGTTACTTAGCTTTATTTAAAAAATAGAAATAATTTTGCCATTTAACTCAGAGAAATTCACATTTTAAACTTACAGTATTTCTTCCACAATATTGTACAAATATGTGCTGCACCCATACTCTGAGCTAGCATAAGCATTGGAGTCAAAAGACCTAAGTTTGCATATTGCATCTACTAGTTATGTAATCTTAGGCAAGTTACTTACATGGTCTGAGCTACACTTTTTTTCTGTAAAGTGGCAACAGCTGCTGCAATGGGTTGTGAAACTTAAGTGAGATTTTATATAATGATTAATTATATAATTTTTAATAATTAATCATTTATTATTTAGTGTATAAATATTAATTTATATTTAAACCTGTAGAATTTATAATAATGTTTATGTAAATAATTAATAATAAATTAAATATCCCTATAAAACATTTATCATGGTGACTGGAACATGGGAGATACTGAATTAAATAACTGTTGCTACATATAATTGAAAAAAAGATCCAGACAGTTACAGATATTATGTTTAGACATATACAGAGTAGAGTCAAAATCACCAAAAGGAATCCAGATTTTTAAAATATATTAAGTAAAATGTGACCTTAGAAATAGTATCTCATCTCCTCGTAGAACTTACAGATTTTCCAAGAACTTTCACATTTTTCACATTTTAGCTCCAGATTAACTCAAATGTGTAGGAAATACATTATCATTTCCATTTTACATGAGTAGAAACAACAGAAGGATTAGTGGATGATAGCTAGTTGGGAATAGATCTATTGACTTAAATTTAAATCTTCTGACTCCAAGGCCAATCAATTCTGCTAGTAGGCTAGTAAGTGAGAAGCAAGGAGCTTACTTTTTAGGTGAAACAAATCCAAGCTTTATAAGACCTGGAACTTCCTCAATTTAAGGGGGATCCTCTTTCAGGAAAAGAATATAAAATGACTCTGTAAATAATAAGACCCCTCACAAGACTTTGGAAGAGGTGTGTAGCTTAAGCTGTGTTAATGCATAGTAAATCTTATTTCTAGATGTAATTGTTGTCACAAGAATAAAATATTCAAACATCTTCTGGTGATGTGACCAAAATATCACATGTACTTGCTTATAAAATAACCAGAAAATATTAGTACCATGTCAAATAGTGATCTAATTGTGTCAGATGGGACATAGCATCTAACAAAAAATACATTACATTATTCAATGAAGTATTTAATTCAATTAAGGAAGAACACTTCACATTTCTTTTGCCTTCCATTCAATTTATAAGTGTAGTTTTAGTGTTAGGGGTTTTTTAAGTTGCATAGAATTTTAATTTAATGCCCTACTTTAGCTTATTTTTTATTCACATACAGCTGGTTATTAAAAAATAAAATATTCTTAATTGGCATGATAGTCATAGCATTCTACAACTTACATTTTTAATGTAATTTTTTTTTTTACTTCTAGCACTTTGATGTCAAGTACTTTTAAACAAGTTCAATGATATAATTTTTAAATTATACTTAATTTGTGATTAACATTTCTAATACCAATTTAAACAACAGATCTAAGAATGCATGTATCCCAATGGACTTTGTCTAGTAGTCATATCATTCCTTTTATGTTTATTTAAGAATACATTACAAATTAAGTACCCTGGGATTTATTTATATTACAATCTAACAACTTACATTTTTTTTTTCTGTCAATTCTAACTTTGTTTTGGGTTATATTTTTGTAGCTATATTTCTATATATTATCAATGTCATCCTTATTTGAGAGTTTAAAGAGATTAAACTACATTTAAATAGCACTTACATTAACAAAATTATCTGGTTTTTCATTTGTTTTCCAAATATTTACTGGAATATAATTTTATATCTTTAATATTAAAAGGAATGTTAGAAGTCATCTAGTGAAGTCCAATTCCAGTATTTGATGAGAAAAATGAGCCACAAGGAAGACAAAATACTGAGAAGAATAACACAGTTGGTGGATTTGCTAAAACTGCAGATGGGCAAAAGTGTTTGAATTCATATTCATAATTTTCAGATCTATATCACCATCATAGTTACTTACATCCCATGAATTACATGGGTGTGTGGGGGTGGGTGCGTATGTGCCCCTCACTCTTTTTTTCTCTCCCTTTTCCACTCTTCCTCTTCCTTTCACTGCTTCTCTTTCGCGTTCTCTTCTCTTACCCTCTCACCCCCACACACACTTTCCACAGATATATACCTACCACAATCACATAAATCATTTCATTTTGTAAAGTTGATTCTACTCAGATGCAAAACATGATTGTTGGAACAAGCCAGGCCAAGTAAATCCTTTTTTCTTAGTCCCTTTTAATTAGCAAATTAGCATGCACAACTTGTACTTATTCTATTTTAAATATGTTATAACAAGTACCCTGATGATGAAATATTCTATATGGAATGTCTCATATTTTCTACCTCTAAATTTAATGCTAAGAATAGTCATTAACATGTGTTCCCAAAAGTTAGATTGATACCCTAAAATGAATTCAAGAATGGAAATAAGTAGCTGGATCGATAAAAGCCAAAATTTACACATGTCCCTAAAATATGTTAGAAAGTGGTCCCAATTTTTAATTTCTCTTCATTATAAGATATTACTCAAGAAGCATGTCACTTTCTTAGGGTAAAAAGTAAATATAAAAACTACCCTGAAGCATTTTTTTCCCTTAGGGATTAATGAGAATTAGCTAGTCTACCTTTTGATATAACATACCAACTGTTTAACAAAGGCTAATGCATATTTGGGCAGCAGATATTGTCAACTCCCCATTTTTTAATATGCAACTCTACTTGTAAAGCTTGTTGGGTCTCCTCCCATCACCTGCATTGATACTCAAAAGATACTCTTAATATCAACATAATTACTTACAAATATTAAAATAAGGAAGAGAACAGTGTCTAAAGTAAGAAAGCAGCTGGTATAATGTGATTAAATTTTTCAAATTACCAATCACTTAAGTGTTTTGACCTACTGCTATTTCAGCCATCTATAGGGTAGGTCTAAAGACAGAATATGATTCAAAATTAGTTTATAATCCAGAAGAATGGGAAGGGGTGGGAAGTCCCACAAGGCTAAATATGAAAACGCTATGCGTCCTACTCTATAACAGTTTCTCAGCCAGCTCAACACTCACTGTATTGCATTTGATTATACTACTGAATATAAAATGGGGTAGTTTTGTGAACATGCTTGCTGAAGTTATTTTTATGTTAAATTTCTTTTTGTAAACTTCTAGGTTGAAATAAACCTAAAACGATATCCAACTCCTTACCCAGAGGATTTAAAGAATATGGTAAAATCTGTTCAAAATTTGGTGGGTAAGCCAAGCCATGGAGTGCGTGTTGAGAATTCAAATCCAACTGCTAACACGGAGCAAACTGTGAAAGAAAAATATGAACACAAGTGGCCGGTAGCCCCAAAGGAGATTACAGTGGAGGTACTTGAAGGTTATTGGTAATTGCCAGTGTGGTTTGGATTTTTTGGAATTTTAAATATGTTTTTTAACTGAATAGATCTTCCTTGATAAGTGCATTTTTCCCCTAAAATATAAATGATCTCTCTACTTTTTCAAACTATGAGGGTTGCATTTAATCAATCATAGAAAAATGATACCCTCATGGCCAAAAATCATTAACATAGCTCCAAAAGTTCCAATACACACAGAATGAATAAGTTCATCACCCAGCAAGGCCTGGCCAGTGAGTGCATTATATCATATTAGTGACATTATTTTGGCTACCCCAAACTTTTGTTGTATTAATCATTAAGAAAGACTAATCCAAGATTTTCTATTATGCAAATCTCATAAAATTCCTAATTAGATCTAGAGCACAATTTTTAAAATGTTTTTATCTTTGGCTTACAACTTTTCTAGGAAACACTGATTAACAATAAAAGAAGGATATAACTTTGAAATTTAGATTTATGGAATCTAGTCATGTGAAGTTTAATTCCTATATTTTAGAATGAGTTAGAAATCCATCCTTATTGATTTTGTGGTCTGAAAAGAATTCAACTACACTAACGCCACCTCTACTATTTCATCACCTCTTCAGCTAATTTGGTTATCATATTTTTATCTTCATTAGAAACATAATTGATCTGAGTACATCTGTAAGTTCGCATAACTACTTCTCCAAAATCTAGATTGGCAAAACTCTTTTACAAATCTGCATTTCAGAGCATCAGTTTGTTGCATTTATTAAACACCAACTGCATATGTAACACTGTGCCAAACACTGTGAGAGAGAAAAAAGAAATATAAAATGTGTCTGTAATCCCCCAATAATTTAAAGCCGACTCAGATACACTTAAGACACATGAAACAATTAAAGAGCATATTATTTAAAATATGATCCCATGGTTAGTTGAGTGATGGCAAATATAATGCTTTAAGTTTAGTTTAGACTGTGTATTAAAGGTAGGGTGATTCTGTTAGAGAGGAAAAGGGAGGAGGGCATTCCAAGCAAAGGGAAGAGCTTGAGCAAAAATAAGCATAGTGTGCATATCTGCCAGCAGAGGTACCAACCTACCCTAGAGGAGGGGAATACACCTAGATTTCTAAGGGAAAAAAATGTTAACATTCATTTTCATTGTTTTTTGCTTATAAAATCAGTATCACTATACTTTTTCCTTTCTAAAATATTATGCACATATTATAGTAAAACAACAGACTGTTCTTTTATCTCAAAGATATTGCTGCAATATAAAGGGAAAGGAAACCAACATTTAGCAGATACACATTAAATACATACATATACATTTTATATTTAAATATCCTGTAATCACAGTTTGACATCAAAATAACTGGTGGTCATGAAAATCTATAAACTGGATAATTTTACTATAAAATAAGAGTCTAAAATGTCTTCATGCAGGGATGGGATAGATGAGGCTTTGGTCATGAATTTAATAATAAATCTTAAAACTGTCCCAGAATCAGGTCAAGCATAACCAATCTAAAATTAGATTTAATGTTTCCTTTGTAAACTTGCTTTTGCTTTCGTGTTCCTGATCTTGATCTCACTGGCACCATTATCTTCCATTTCACTCAAGCTAGAAATTTGAGAGATGTCCTTATTTCTTCTTCCTTCTTTCTCTCCACTTCCTGTGTCTTCCAAATAATTACCAAAGCCTGTGCATTCTCACCTAAGTGTATCATTTCTACCTCTTCAGGCCTTCAATTCTGTCCTGCATTACCATAAAAAATATCTGTTTTTTTGGCTTCCCTTGTCCCCAGCCTCCTCATTGCCTTGTCAATGGTCTTCCTAAAACAGAATTCTAATCATTTCTTTGCCCTCCTTAAAAACACTACAGTGACTCCTTATTGCTCAGGCTAAGATTAAAGCTCAACTTTCGGCTTTAAATTTGTCTGTGTGATTTGCACCACCCCTTTCTTAGCTTTCTTCTACTAGTCTTTTCCTCTTGAACAGAAATTTCACTGGCAATTTCAATACTTTATCTAAAATTGAGATTCTAGATCTTCTCTCTCTAACTTGTAACCATCCTAGAGCAAGGAGGAACTGTTGCTTTCTGTATTATCCTCCTGTCTCAAAATAACTGCAGCCAAAGTAAAGGTTCACACTCCATTTTTCAATGTCCAGATTTAATAAATGCAGATAATCAAGCGTTTAGCTGATCAGTGCATACTAAATATTTATGTTTTGCACTTGTATGCCATTTTTTGGGTCATTGTTATTAGTTCACACTGCCAAGGATATGGAAGAGGGTATTATACACTGCATGATATATTTATTCATGTGATTAAATATAGAAAACCCCCCAGAGAAGAATAAAGGTAGGCAGGACCAGAAGTGGAAAACAGAAAAATTAAATAAGGTAGAAAGATTACAAATGCAACTAAGGGGAAAAAGGAAAGGTAAATATTTATTGCTCACTTTCATTTTGCCAACTATATGCCAGTAGTTTTAACATACATTATGCCAGACAAAGAACAGGGCTGGCAGAGCCATAAGAAGAAGGAGGACAGGGAGATTTTCCTTTATAATGCCTTGCACAGTTTGCATTTGCCTTTTCCCCAGATCTCTTTATATGGCTAGCACTTCCTCATCCTTCAAGTTTCAGCTTAAAGGTCACCTCAGCAGGAAGGCCTTCCCTGGTCACCCTGATCAGTTAGACCCTCTGATATTCTCTGTCACGTCACATTATCACATTAAATATGATGAACAGTTATGATTACTTTGTTTATTGACTTCAGACTGTGAGTTTCATGAAGGCAGGGATGCTTTCTTTCTTGCCCGTCCTTTTATTGCCTGAGTCTAGCACAGTGCCTAGGATAGAGTAGGAGCAAAATAAATATTTGTTGAATAAATGAATGAATGATATAGTCTAGTATAATGACTCTGGTAACATGTCTGTCTCTCCATTCAATTAGATATTCATTGAAATCAAGGAGAAGTTCTGAGGTTTTTTTGAATTAATAATTTAATTAATTGATACCTATCCACACTTCATCACCTGTGTGTTCAATACACTCTTGGTATATAAATGCCCACAGCGTCTCAGTGATGTTATGGTGATCCTAGGCAAAAATAAATACCTAGGAGTTTCATTTAAGTTGTTATTCCCAAACAGCTTAGTAAATATTTATGCCCTACTTTGTGGTCATTTGAAAAAATCAATGCAATTAAATTGAAAGAGAAAATGTTTACCTCATTCTTACCAAATCAAAGCCAAAATATTAATGGCATACATGCACCTGTTAAACACCACCTATCTTCTCACAGCTAGGAATCATAGTAGACACCACAATTTTAATTTCTGTTTCTCATTGATTTTCAAGTGCCACTTGGTTTTTGATCACAGCAACCACCAAAAACCCAGCCTCACAAGGATTTTGGTTTTTTGTTTTTGTTTTTTGTTTTTTATTTTTTTGAGATGGAGTCTCGCTCTGTTGCCAGGCTGGAGTGCAGTGGTGTGATCTCAGCTCACTGCAACCTCCAACTCCCTGGTTCTAACGATTCTCCTGCCTCAGCCTCCTGAGTAGCTGGGATTACAGGCACGTGCCAGCACAGCCAGCTAATTTTTGTATTTTTAGTAGAGACGGGGTTTCACCGTGTTGGCCAGGATGATCTCGATCTCCTGACATCATAATCCACCCACCTTGGCCTCCCAAAGTGCTGGGATTACAGGCATGAGCCAGCATGCCTGGCCAAGGATTTTCATCAAAAAGAATGTGCAATCTAATGTTGTAACTGAGAGTTATCTCAAGCTAGCCATTTGCACAGTGTCTGTCTAATGTCAAGTATTGCTTTTTTTCCCTCAAACATTTAATATAACTCACAGTGTCCCTGTTAATTGCAGCAACACCCATGGGTGCCTCAGAGTACAGTTTAAGAATCAAGGGGTAGGGCTTTTAAATCTAGCACACATGAATTGAAATCTTGGCTCCACCTTGTGACCTTAACAAGTTCCTAAAACCTTTTCGATCCTTGGTTTCTTTATCTTAAAAAAAACACAAAACAGAAAATATAACAGCTATTTGTATACAGCTCCAAGCACAGTTATTGACACAGAAGAAGCCTACAGTAAATCATTCTCTCTTCTTTCTCAAGAGAATTATATGCCAATTCCTTTCTCATCCTCCTTTAATCCTTCTGCAAGTAACTACCAAGATACATATTCACCATCCAAAAATGTTCTCCATTTTTCTCTTTGTTAGGAGACTCAGCCCAGTTTTTTTCTATAGAGGAACATCTTTCTTCCGGTAACAGAGAATTGTCAATTACCCTCAAAATTTTCCTTAAATTACTTTTATTCATGCTAGGCCTAGACTCTCAAAAGCTCAGAAATAAGCTTGCTTTCTTTCCTTTGACTTCTTCCTGAGGCTTCTTTTCTTTATGGCAGTAGCAGCTAAGATGTAGTTTGAACAGTGGAAGGGCAATTGTGTGAAAAAGGACATTTTACCTTTTCTTTCTCTCCCACTTCTGTCTCCTCACCAGAAAGAAAATATGGTTCAATCTACTTGCAATGGAATCCCCACTAAATTCTATTTTCTACCAAAAACTTCCTCTGTCATTGCCCATGGAAGCAGTCCCCAAAACTTTGCCCACTTTTCCAAAAGGAACTCTATTCCTCTAGCCTCTATAAAAGAAATTACAGAAGCAAAATTAGTGATTTGTTTCCTTTGTTGGATAGTTAACTTTACTTTGTGAAACCCATGTGAGAAATGAGCTGTTCTTAGGATAGACAATACTGCATACACAGTATCACATAGATCTTTGAGTAGCACAGATCTCAGTTCAAATCCTGGCTCTACCACTTATTAGGTTTGTGACTTAGAATTATGATTTTACCTCACTGAGCCTTCATTTCCTTATCTGCAGAACAAAAAAAAAGATGATAATAAATAATTTGAATGCCACATAATGATAAAAAAATAAGGTTGTCTTTTAAATAATTAACAAGGATAATAGAGAGTGTTTAGCATAGTAGCACCACAGCAGATGTAATTAGTGCCATGTAATTTATGGCCATTATCATCACTGTCATCATCATCATCATCACTTTGTTCATAAGGGTAAGAGAATCTACTGGGATCACTGCAAATTCATCATTCTTGTTTCAATAATGTCCTTCTAAGAAGAAATACAAGTTCATAATTAGCTGATAATCATCCTCTCTTCCTGGTCATTAAGGCTGTTTTTGATTCCCAATAGAAATTCTTGAACAGGATCAGAAGCTTGAACCTGAGTCAAACCAGAGCTACCATGCAGAGTTCCAGTCATAATTTTGGTATACAAGTTTGAAAGTCTAATCAATACAAACAAGATGACCTGAGTACTGAATGTGTAGAACATAAGGGAAAAAAAAGCAAAACCCATAGTTATTTTAACATTCTGTACTTGTACAACTATTTGGTTTGCTTTTTTGTGTTTCTATTCTATTTTTGTTTTTCTTTTGAATAAAACGAAATTCCCATTTTTGTAATTAGGTATCATAGGAATATTTTTAGATTATTATTTCAACAAATAACTTACCTTTAGATTCATAGATTGTTAGTACTAGACAGGAATTGGCACTAATTCCTGTTACTGATTACCTTTATTTTAATGATGATAATGCCCAGAGAAGTACACTGACTTGCCCAATGTGACTAACAAAATACGAAAATAGAAATAGGATGAAAATATGACACCTTGTAACAAATTTTTTGGCAAGTCAGCGTATTTTATGCCTTTCATGGTACTCTTTCTCAAACTCATATCTTCTTATAAATTTCTCCAAAGTATATAAAGACTTTTATCCTCCATTCTGTCACCTTGAAACTTTGTCATACATTTTTTATGCTAAATCTTTGAACTAACTTTCAAAATCAGTCAAAATGAAGAATATGTACCCTCTGAAATAATTTTTAAAATCAATCAAAATAAAGAAAATATGGCCTCTATAAAAGATTTTATAAAAAACAAAGTCAGTGATCAATTTCTTTTGTTGGGTAGTTATCTTTGTTCTGTGAAGCCCATGTGAAAAATGAACTTTTCTTAGGCTAGGCAATATGGCATACACAGTATATCACATAAAATACTTTTGAGTAGCAAATATAGCCTCTTCAACTACTGAATTTTCCATTCTACTCCTTTTTTCCTGTTCCTCTTTGCAATTTGATACCTCATTTTAAGTTCCTTGTGTGCTCACAGCTGAGCTCACCAGGAGGCAGCACAAGGTAAGGAAAGATCACTGGAATGGAGCCCAAGAGAATCCTGCTGCAGTGCTGGATCTGTGTGCCCTAGGCCTAAGCCGAGTCTCAGAACCCGCCTCTAGAAAACAAAAGTGTTGGACTAAATGATCTTGCCATTTTCTTTTATTGAAATATTCTATTTAAAAAATTAAAAAGTATCAGATATAACCAGGTTTTTCAGGCAAATATTTCCATACAAACCTAACCCAAAAGAATCCCAAAAGATAGAACTTAAACCAAAAGTTAAAGAAATGGACGTGCTTCTCTGCAATAACCAAATACCTGAGCATGTCTCACTATGGGGTTCCTTGGCAATATATAAAATTTATAGTAAGAGTTTCTGCCTGTTCATTATACCAACCAATTAGTTTTAAGACAGGACTTTTTAAATTTACAATATTTTTGTCCTCAAGTATATTTTTTTCTCTGATTTAACAAAATATTTCTAAGTATTTTACATTAGTGCTCCAAACTCACAAGATACTAATGAATTAAAAAGCTGAAAAATTCTTATTTGAATTAAAATTAATCTTAAAGGAAAAGAAGACATAACAATAGCTGCTATGCATAAATATATCTCACTACTTATGGGCATAGATAAGGTGTTTTTATATCTAGAAGAAAGTGAGAATTTGGTATTTTACCTTCCCCTAATGCTCTCCACACTCCCTGGTTAGCTGAGAACAGTAATTTGAATTGTGGAAGTTTAAAATTCTTGGGTTTTCTACATGTTTATTTGTCATTATGAAGTTATAGTCGTGTATCGATATTGCTCGTTACACTCAAAGAAGGGGTATAGAATGAAGATTTAGCATGCTAGATTAGGTGTGAGAAAACCAGGAACCTTTGGAAGAAGACATGATAGAACTTGAGAAATTGAGGAGATGATCACTTGGGGTACAGTAGAAAGTGAGGAGGAAAGTGGTGGGAAGAGCAGGATTTATAGGACCCGACAGTGAATTAATGTGGCTAGGGATGCACACACACACAAAATCTTAATTAGTCAGTGACATACTTTCCTCTTAAAACTCTTAGAGAGTTCACCACTTAGAACAATTACATGCATATATGTCATATTTGTGTGAATCATACTGCTCATTAATGGCTTATCGTAATTCAGTCTGGTGTTCTAATGACTTACATCTCATCTCTCCAACTAGATTATAAACTCCCAGAGGGTACCAGCGACATTTTGTCTTTCTTTGGAACCTCCACAGTTCATTGCACAGTGCCAGGCATATAAACAACATGCAAAAAAAAAAAAGAATGAATAAATGGACTCACTTACGTTAGAAAAAAAATTTTTAATGCTTAACTCAGAGATACATATGGTTTATTTCTCCCAGTGCCCCACAGTGAACTGAATTCTAGAGTCACATTTTTGAATCTGAGCCAAATAAACATACTGCCACTTCGGTTAACCATTGTTTAAATGTTTACTTTCCTTGTCCTGTATTATTATATCTCTCAGGATTCTTTTGTTCATCCAGCTAATGAAATGAGGATTGGGGAACTTCACCCTTCATTAGCTGAGACCCCTCTGTACCCACCCAAACTTGTTCTGCTAGGGAAGGACAAAAAAGGTAACATTGTGAACCCAATGTGGAAAATATGCTACAAATGCATGTGCATGATGAATCGCCAGTTGTAAATTATGATACACCATAGTCTATACAAATGTTTTACAAATATGCATTTCTAACCTTAATCGGTATGGTTTCCATTTTTCATACTTGCTTTTCCGTGTAATTGTCAGTGTCATAGCATTATAACATTTTCCCCTTTAAATTTCAGAATCAACTGATGAGTCTGAAGTTGACAAAACTCACTGTCTGAATAACAGTGTTTCCTCAGGCACTTACTCAGACTACTCGCCTTCCCAGGCTTCCTCAGGATCCTCTAATACCCGGGTTAAAGTGGGGTCCTTGCAGACAACAGCTAAAGATGCAGTACATAATTCTTTGTGGGGTAACAGGTGTGTTTAGAATTCCCTCCTTTTGTTCCCAAACGTTTATTTTCAGCAACTTTTTAAAAAATAGAATCTTCTTAATTTTGGAATTGTATTCAGCACACAAGTGGCACAGAAGACAGAAGGGGCAGGTAAGCAAATGTTGTTCACCTGGGACTGCCAAGAACAGATGAATCCATCTTACAGGGAGAGGCCATTGGTTAAGGAAGACATGGTAGGAGTTAACAGGATGAGATGGTAGAACAAAAAAATTTTAAAATAAAAAAAAAAATGTTAGCCCACTGATACTTATTGATGAGACATGGATGTTTTACCATACAAAATGGCATAATGAATTAAAATAAAATGCCAGTAAAACACTTATGTGTTTGGTCCAGAGTAAGTGTTCAATAAATTTTCATTGCTATCATCATCATAATAATTTTATCACCACCTGGAAAAGTTAGGATGTAAAGTACTTAATCTTTCCAAAATGCCTCCTCCTCTATATTACTCTAACTTTACAGATGAAAAAACAAAAACCACACACAGAGCACAATAAAGTGACTCAATAAGGCAGTGTTTTCCAGTTCTAATTCCATTTTGTAACTTGTTGCTATGTTTTATACTACAAATAGCAAATTAAAATTGTTATATGATATAGGTAGTCAATAACTTTTACTCGTATTTTACTGAAAATATTGTCACTATTAGCAACGTCTTCTTTAGTAATTCATGAGTAACTTTTCCTATTCATTGATGCTCATAATAAAAATCTTAACTCTTTCAGTCTGTAAATTCATTATCTGCATTATTTCAGTATCTGCTAGAAATAACATGGTCAATGATATAAACATGTCAGGGATCTAAAGTCATAATATAATTTACATTCTACAAAAACATACCTGAATATGCTCTCTATATAGTAGCATTTAGTGTCTTCAAAACCTGACCTTCAAGTAAAAGTTATCCGAAGACAATTTAGATTCATTACATACACCAAGCATTTGTAAGAAAGGTACTCTCAGCCAATAGTTCGAAATCTACCAAATCAGAATCTCCAGGAATGGATATCAGGAATCATGATTCTAATTAGACCCAACTCTTCGTCCTTTTCAATTTCTTCTTCCCATTGTGTTCACAGGATTGCACCATCTTTCCCACAGCCTCTTGATTCAAAGCCATTACTCAGCCAGCGGGAGGCTGTTCCCCCAGGCAGTATACCACAGCGTCCTGACCGGCTGCCCATGAGTGATACTTTCACTGACAACTGGACTGATGGCTCACATTATGACAACACAGGGTTTGTTGCTGAGGAAACCGCAGCTGAGAATGCCAACAGTAATCCTCTCTTAAGTTCGAAATCTAGAAGCACATCTTCGCATGGACGCAGGCCTTTGATCAGGCAAGACAGGATTGTTGGTGTTCCCCTGGAACTTGAGCAGTCTACACACAGACACACACCAGAAACAGAAGTGCCTCCTTCCAATCCTTGGCAGAATTGGACCAGAACCCCTAGTCCATTTGAAGACAGGACCGCTTTTCCTTCCAAATTAGAGACAACCCCTACTACCAGCCCATTGCCTGAAAGGAAAGAACATATAAAGGAATCTACTGAAATACCTAGTCCTTTTTCTCCAGGCGTACCATGGGAGTATCATGATTCCAATCCCAACAGGAGTCTTAGTAATGTCTTTTCTCAAATCCACTGCCGCCCAGACTCTTCTAAAGGTGTTATTTCAATTAGCAAAAGCACAGAGAGGCTTTCCCCTCTAATGAAAGATATCAAGTCTAATAAATTCAAAAAGTCACAAAGTATCGATGAGATTGACATTGGTACATATAAGGTGTATAACATACCATTAGAAAACTATGCTTCTGGGAGTGATCACTTAGGAAGCCACGAACGACCAGATAAGATGCTGGGACCAGAGCATGGTATGTCCAGTATGTCTCGAAGCCAGTCAGTCCCGATGCTGGATGACGAGATGCTCACCTACGGAAGTAGTAAAGGGCCACAACAACAAAAAGCTTCTATGACAAAAAAAGTCTATCAGTTTGACCAAAGCTTCAATCCTCAAGGATCAGTGGAAGTGAAAGCCGAAAAGAGGATACCACCCCCTTTTCAACACAATCCCGAGTACATGCAACAGGCCAGCAAAAACATCGCCAAGGATTTGATTAGTCCTAGAGCTTACAGAGGATACCCACCAATGGAGCAAATGTTTTCATTTTCTCAGCCATCTGTGAATGAGGATGCTGTGGTGAATGCCCAGTTCGCAAGTCAAGGGGCCAGGGCAGGCTTCCTGAGAAGGGCCGACTCCCTGGTGAGCGCCACAGAAATGGCCATGTTTAGAAGGGTCAATGAGCCTCACGAGCTGCCCCCAACTGATAGGTATGGCAGACCTCCATATAGGGGAGGGCTGGATCGCCAAAGCAGCGTTACAGTGACTGAGTCCCAGTTCCTGAAAAGGAATGGCAGGTATGAAGATGAACACCCTTCATATCAAGAAGTGAAAGCTCAGGCGGGAAGTTTTCCGGTTAAAAACCTTACCCAAAGGAGGCCATTGTCTGCGAGAAGCTACAGTACAGAGAGTTATGGTGCCTCCCAAACCAGGCCAGTTTCAGCTAGGCCTACTATGGCAGCTCTTTTGGAAAAAATACCATCTGACTATAACTTGGGTAACTATGGTGACAAGCCATCAGATAACAGTGATTTAAAGACGAGGCCTACTCCTGTGAAGGGAGAGGAGAGCTGTGGTAAAATGCCTGCAGACTGGAGACAACAGCTGCTTAGACATATAGAAGCTAGACGGTTAGACAGGGTATGTCTGGCATTTCTCTGTAAGAATATCCCTCCTGCCTTTAGTGTTACTTTTTTGGCATTTCTAAGCACATGTAGTGAAGCATGAACTACGTGAATGAATTAGATCATCAGTATTTTATTTATCTTTATATTGTGGGGGAAATGGATCATAATAGTTTTTCATGGTTGTGGCTAAATGCTCTCTGAGAGTTCATAACCTGCAGGTGAATTATTCATCAAATCTAACCCAAATGTTGTTAGTAAGAAAGAATTTGACTCCATTAGAGAGGATGGTGCTTCAACTGCTTTCTAGTCATTAAGGCAAAATGCCTCTCCTAGGACACAGAACTGTTCTCTAGTGACCTAAAGAGTATGATTTTTATTGAACCTATAAAAAGTGGATATTTCCCCCGTTTCTGAATGGATTCACTTATATTAAAGTCAGGCGTAATTTGTTTATGAAATTTGCACATAGTGCTATGGGACTACTAGTTATTATTTCTAAAGAGCAATAATTTTCCCAGCAAGAAACAGAAAAATAAGCAGGGATTAAATGCCCTCCTACACATTATTTTATTTAATAAAAATCCTGCCATTTAGAATGTTGGTTTTTATATAGAAAGAAATGTTTAAACTCAAATTATACTACTGACAACAAAAATAGATGATGTCTTTATGAAGACAACAAACGTACAAATTAGTATGTGTATTGCAGCAAAAAAGAAAATTCTAGTTCAGTTAAAAATTGGGTCACAATAGGTGAGGCATGGTGGTTCACGCCTGTAATCCCAGCACTTTGGGAGGCCAAGGCAGGCGGATCACGAGGTCAGGAGTTCAAGACCAGCCTGACCAAACATGGTGAAACCCCATCTCTACTTAAAATACAAAAAAAGAAAAACTGGCCAGGCGTGGTGGTGCACGCCTGTAATCCCAGCTACTTGGGAGGCTGAGACAGGAGAATTGCTTGAACCCAGGAGGTGGAGGTCGCAGTGAGCCAAGATCACGCCACTGCCCTCCAGCCTGAGCGACAGTGTGAGACTCCATCTTGGAAAAAAAAAAAATGAGTCCACATATACAGGGATCAGGGACAGTGGAAAGAAAAAAAAATCATATAATGCCTAGAATTACATTTTGTTGCCTGTTCAAATCTCTCTAAGAGAAACCTGGTACTCATTTTCTAGAACTATTTTCAATTGACCATCATCATTCAGTGTACTTTGTGGCTTTTAGTGTAGAGGGCTTGATGTGCTCTGCATTGACATTAGAATCTTAAAGATCCTTTTTGTGAAAATGGGGCTTTTTGTTCTCATTTTCTAGGGCTGAATTCTCAGTGCAAATTGGGGATCTGGGTAATAATATACTATTGCATTGTCTCGCTCAATAGTTCTATTATTTTATTTGGTGTCCTGCTAAAAGCACAGGTCACTGCATTTATTATGTATTTCTTTAATACTGAATTTTATGTTTACAGGTTTACTCTTTTCAAATAATCATACTGCTTGTAGGTCGTGTCTACATGACAAGAAAACAATTTTTTTTAGGGAAAGAGTGAACTAATAAATGTGGGTGTGGGTGTTAGTTTCTCAATGTGGAAATTGGTTCTGCCTTGCAAAATATTTCATCAGAATGTCTGTTTCAAATAGGTTTGCTCAGTCCCATTGAAGGGAGCCTCATCAAAGCCTCATGACTGGCTGTCAGTGGGAGACACCTGGTCGGTTGTCACCATGCCTTACCTCAAGTATACCCTCCATGTAGACAGATAACTTGGAGGGCGAAAATATTTGGGGCCAAATAATACAGTACAGTTTGGGAACTCTGGCCTCGTGTAGACACGACCATACATAACAGGGTAAGATGAACTAGTCAAGAAAGGTTGTAAGAAGCTTTTTGGAGCATATGTACAATGACTAGTAATTTGAGGCAACAGAGGAATGAGTGGAAACAACTAATGAAAAGGAAAAGATAAAATTCTAAGCATTTGGTTCCATCACTTAGTTACTGGTGTCCCAGATCAATGGTTCCTCTCCTTTGACCCCAGCTACTGAAAAGCAGGTGACTCCTCTAGATGAAGCAAGAATTTTAAGCAGGAATATAAGGTTAGGGGAGAGAGATTTGAATCAGCAAATGTTTGAAGGTCCCTTCCTATCCCAGATAACAAAAAGCTAACTGATGTATTTTTCATTGCTATGACACTTCCCTTCTTAATTGATCTTCATATAACCTCTGTTTGTGTACAGTTCCCTAGGTGTCTTTCATTTTTCAAAGCAATTTCAATGTACATTCAATAGCTTCTCATTTAATTCCAAGAAATTAAATTACCTTAGAGTATTGCTTGGGGTCATCAGATCCTAAAAGCTCTTTCTTTTGTTTTCTCCAAGTCGCATTTCTTTCTTTCAGTTGAGTTACTGAGCTATTCAGGCTATATCTTTCATAAAACTTCCCAGCTACTCAACAAGGTGAATTCGGGGTACTGAAGCACAGACTTATTATGTGAAACCAGTTTCGACATAGCTGTGCTACTTAACATTCTGTCCAAAGGCAGACTGCACCAGAGAAATAATGTGCTTCTTTCCCTGTGAAATTTAATTGAGTCATTTGAACCCTGAAAATCAAATAGTTACACAAGAAATTATGAGATTTCTGTCCATTCCACATAAAAGACAATTGCCTAGAGACTTGGACGTTGGATAAGCTTAACAGTTCAACATAATGTTGGTGAAAGATCTAAGTGTTGACCTTGAAGAGGCAGCTCCAAGAACTACCCTAGATAAAAGATGCTTGTTTCCTCTTTTAGTTTAACCACGAGGCCCAGGCTTTCACTGCAGAGCCACACTATGACAGGGAATTTAAAACATGAACCCATATGTCTGAGACTGCTTCTGTTCTATAGAAGCTGAGAGAGCACTAGACTGGAGGAATTTTAAACCTTAGGGAATTTTCCAAGTGCTAGATTGAGATGTTCAGTGTCTTTTTCAGTTTTGGCATGGTGACAATGGAAAATCTCTATATGAAATAATAATGGATCCATAACAAATATGATTGGTAGACAAGCATACCATCAGGAGTATAATAATCTTTCAGCTTCAGTCAATGAAACTTTGATGCTAAAACTCATTACTTTGATAATATTGCCCTCAGAATAGAATAGCTGCCTGCTGTTAACGTTCAGTAATATTTGGCTTAGAAAAAGTGTGCTAAGTTAACTTTTTTTTCCAAAATGAGAAATTCTTTTTCCAAAATGAGAAAATTACTTAAAGGGGCCAAATGCTGTCAATGATTACATTTCCATTGTAGACTGAAGAAGGAGATTGTACAGGTGGAAACAATTTGATGAGAGGGTATCTAAAATTTTACATTTAAATTTTAAATAAAGTTTTATAGGAAAAAAATTATCAGTCACTTAAATGCAAATGCCACCAGAGTGTTCTGTAGGTATTTGAATATATTAGATAATTCGCATTAATAAATCAATAAATTATAATTGCTTTAATATTACTATGAAATTTCTTTAGTTTAAAATATAATTTTTAAGAAACAAAAAATAGAATATTTGGATCCACATAAAATGTATTTGATTGATTTAACTGAATTAATAAGTAAGTTCAATCAAGCCTATGGTCAGCTCAAATGACATTTACCAGCTGTTTTTTCTGAGTTGCTGTAATTATGCCTACAGACTGAGCAATAAAGGAGACTGATTTTGGCTTTAACATTGCAATGCATTAGCTTAAGACAGAATTAGAAACTAATACTTGTCTTTCACAAGTGATGATCTCACAATGTGAAAGAGAACAAAGATCTGCAGCTGGTAAAATTTAAGATCTCACTGTTTAAATGGCTAGATTACCACAGATGAATAATACTTGTCCAAAGTGACTACTATCACGATGTGTAAGAGACAGAATTTATGACGTTGAGTTAGCAGCAGATGTAAAACAGAATGTATCTTCTTTGCTTTTTGTCTTTTCTGTAGTTTTGGATGGTACTCATTATGTGCATAACTAACACTGTTTACTGTATGCTTCTGTCTGATCAAGTGCATGTTTTTTTAAAAAGTTACTGTTTGCCTGCCTAAAGTTAAATGTTACAAATTTAAACCTGTTCATGTAATTTATCAGTTTGTTGAGCATGTGTTCACACCCTGTCACATGATTATTTCCTCTACTCAGAATGCTGCTTACAAACACAATACAGTTAACCTTGGCATGCTGCCCTATGGAGGTATTTCAGCAATGCATGCAGGCAGAAGCATGACTTTAAACTTGCAGACTAAGTCTAAATTTGATCATCAAGAACTACCTCTTCAGAAAGTAAGTATGGACTGCCCTACATGTGTCAGCATACCAAAGCCAATTAATGTTGTTTGTTCACTTAATGTGTTTAGGCTGTACATACAACCCTGCTTACTATAGGCTCCTATGAGTCCAAAAAGCACAAGGGCAAATAATGTAGAGCCTGAACTCTTAGCCGCTAAATGAATATTTGTAGCTGGACTGATTATCAGGTTCCTGCTTTTTGGATTGAGCTGTGCTTTTTGGATTGAGCAGGTACATGGCTTTTTGTGTTGCTTCAAGGTTCATTTTTCTTATTATTCATTTCCTTTTTTCCTCCTTTGTTTTTCTTTATTTTGTGTTTATATATATATATGTTTTTTACTTTTTTGGAGATAGTCCTATCGTCTCCTGGTGATGCATTCTGAGAACAGAGCTCAAAATTATTATTGGATTTCAATTGATTCTTTTGGAAAAGACATAGAATCCTAAATTAGGAGGAGAATTAAGTAGCTGGTACTTATAAGTGCTTCTTCAGCCCATTTTTTTGCAGGAAATATAACCCAAAAGAAAAATATGAGAAACAAGTTTGTGGCTTAGGAAACTAGGTTGGTGGAAAAGTAGCAAGTTTGCATGGTATTAGATGAAAATGTAGGAACACTGAAAGGGAATATACTGAAAGAGGAAACATTTCCATTGTTAAAGGAACATTTCTGTTTGTTTAATTCAGCCAAAACTGAGAATGCACATTTTACTTGTAGATCAATTAATGCCTTCTGTCTTAGTTACATTTTAGTGGAAACCAATGAGTCATTTTCACAGTATGTCATTATGCCTATATATTTATATAGTCATTAACTTAGTAAGTTTTTATGAAAAAAGCAATGCAAAGTACGGATAACAGAGTGACAGTAACTTCTAAACACTTCTCTCTTAATAAAATGAATGAACATTATGACTCACCCCATCAAAATGAGAGTCATAAGACCTCAAATTCCTGTTTTATTGTTAATCTAGTTTTTTAATAACATTCCCAAACTGTGGATAGTTTGGTTCATACTGTGAGTAGAATAACAAAATCAAGAAGACATTTATAGCCACAGCTTTTTTATCACTCACCATAACTTAAAAAAAAAAAAAAAAAAACACTAAATTGAAAACTTTTGAATGCTGTTTTTGCTGTGCCTGGTCTATACTGCAGGACCAGTGGAGTGCTGGTAACAAATCAAGGACAAGACCTTGATTTGTGGTATCTGCCAATGTCAGCAATATAAATACTCTCCCTATGGCTAATTTCAAGGTACCAACTTAATGTCACTGAACTTAGAATTGGGAAGATTCACGTGCAGTTGGCTCTCATGAGCCAGTACAAATTGGCTCCAACACACCATCAGCATGACTATTTTTACTTCATTTGCTACTTTAATGGAACCTATTTTTCATGTCCTCTCAGAGGCCCAAGACTCTCATCCTCTTCCCTAACAAAACCAGTTTTCAAAAAGACCTTGAAACTTAATGGCATTAAGGAATAGATAAGATATCACAATTTTAAATAGGGACTTTTCTTATAGGGCTTGCCAATTAAGTAGAAATCAAACCTTGTATTAGTCTGCTGTCACACTGCTAATGAAGACATACCCAAGACTGGGTAATTTACAAAGGAAAGAGGTTTAATTGACTTACAGTTTCACATGGCTAGGGAGGCCTCACTATCATGGTGGAAAGCGAAGGAGGAGCAAAGTCACATCTTACATGGCAGCAGGCAAGAGAGCTTGTACAGGGGAACTCCCATTTATAAAACCATCAGATCTCATGAGACTTCTTCACTACCACCAGAACAGTATGGAGGAAACTGCCCCCATGATTCAGTTGTCTCCACCTGGTCCCACCCTTGACACATATGGATTATTACAATTCAAGGTGATAGTTGGGTGGGAATACAGCCAAACCATATGAAACATTTAAACTAAAAAAATGGAATTTCAAAATTCAGTGAACAAACTAAAGAGATCTTAGTATGATGGAAGCTATTGCCTGAACCCCCCTGAAGTTATATCATATGAAGATGCCCCTATTTTGCTAAATTTTTGACCATATTTACTTATCAATCTGTATGACAATATAGATATATACAGTATCTGAAAAATGCCAATACACTTGAAACAGTGTTTCCTAACATCTAAATTACTCTCCAGATATAAATTAGGTATCACTGTATTAGCATATTAATTTTCTGATGTCATTTGGGGTACCCTAGAGAATGGACTCATGTAAGCTCTAAGAAGAAATAATGCAGAGTTATATTTGGGGACTTTCAATAATCCTCAGTTGAGCACATAGGTGACCAAAACGAATTTTCTTTGGAAGCCACATTAATTGCAAATCAAGAATCATTAAAGTATTAAAAGACTCCACCTCAAAATAAATTATCATCAGTATTTTATTATCTGCACCAAAAAAAGAAGAAAAATAGAGAAGGCAAGGGAGGAAAAAGATACATAGGCAGGGCGAGTAATGCATTACTCCAAAAGATTTTATGATCCAAAACTTACCACTTTAAGTCCTATAAAATTCAAGAATTTAGGCATCTGGGACAACTTTCCCACCCTGTCACCAATGCAGGAACCTTATCAGGCACTGGATAGTTAATGGGCTGCAATAATAGCTCTGGGCTCTGCTTCCTCCCATGAATTCCAGTCTAAGCCTCTGTCCCTTCGCTTTTGTACCCTCATACGTCTCTTGTACAGAGCTTTCATTTGAAAATTTGTTAGGTTTTTCTGCCACACTCTAGAATCAGCCTCTCTTTAAAATGCAGTCTCTCCAATTATTCCTCCTGGACTCCACTGACCATTGCTAACAGTTCTCATGATTGAGGTTCAATCTCCCTGAACCCTTCTCCCCAGGAGAGGAGATAGGCAAAAATTACTTAACTTTGATTTAGAAATGCATAAAAATCTGTTATAACATGTTTGTCTTTCTACTTAAGATAATAAAAATTACCGTCTTAGATCCTTAAGACTTCTTTGCAGCCCCTAAATACTCATTAACCATAAGAATTTCACTAAAATGTAGGGTAAGACCAATTTATAAACAAACATTTTCATTAAATAAAATTGACATAACTATTTCTTCTCCTGTGGAAATTCTGGAGCTGTCTCTTTTATTCATAAAATTCTTGTACGATAATACTGGCTATCTCTAGTTAGATGCTGTGGCAAATGACTTTGGGGTGTCCTAGAAAGAATGAAGGAAGTTTCCTAAGGAATCTAAATTAATGTTTTCACCTGTTGGAAGTTAAGCACTGGAAATGGAGTTGTAGTATCCATTGTGCAGGTACTGCTCTCCGAAGGAAACATGTATCCCCACCCTGTTTGCCAAGGCTTGCCTCTTGCAACTAGGAGAAAGAATAAACTTTTTTATATTTCCTGTCCTGCACCAAGGCAATCTTTAAACAAATTTGTAATAAACTAATCAAAGGATATAATTATTTATGAATGAAGCTTGAAGAACTCTGCACTTGATAAACTATTTACATTGTGAATATTTATATGAACAAAAAGGGAACCCTCTTCAAGATTTTGCAATGTATTTTAAATATTTTCCATTTTTTCATATTTATTACATGTCAGATCAAGTATGGTACATTTTTCATGGATTACAAGCTACATATAGGCTATCTATACTATAAAGAGTAAATTACGTCTTCTATAATTTTATAGAACTCTTTAAGATATTAAGAAAATGCCAACAAATATAACAAAATTTGTTTAATAAATTTAATTTCCTTAATATATTCATTTATTTAGATGCTTATGCTAATTTCCCAGAAAATATTAGTAATACTTAGGAACCAGAACATTTAGAACATATAAATCTTTTATTAAATTACAGAATTATTAGTATTCTATTTATTTTTATTCATTCATTCAGTCATTCATTTATTCATTTATCATTTATTTACTGCCTTTCCAAAAAGCATATAAGGCAACTTTCTATGATGTTATTAATGGTTCCATGTGCTTCTTTGGATGTATTTTATTTGTAATTAAGCTTAGCTATTGCCTTGAAATTTTATGTTATCGTAGAGAAATACAAATTGTAAAATGTCAGTTCAAACTACCATTTTTAATATTAAAATTAATGGTAGAATGGATACATAGTTCCACTGGGAGAAAAATAAAGACAAGGATTTATTGAGAATCTACTGTGTACCTGGTGCTATGAGGTACTTTAACTATATTTTGTCTTGCAACCCATAAAACCCTTAAAGGGCATATTTATCTCGATTGTGTAGATGAGGAAACTGAGGCTCATGTGTCACACAAAATAACTCACCTGTACTGTCACTGTTTCACTGCTGTAACTCCTGCACTTAGCATAGTAGTAGGTAGAATTTAAATCTGCTTCTGCCTGGTGCCTACATACATACTCTTTCTACTCTATGATGATGCCTTCTCAAATGTTTGTAAAACCTAACATTTTCATAGAACATGACTCATAGATTAAAAACCTCTTACCTATGCATTATTACCTCACATAACCTTCAAAACAATCTAGAGAGGTAGATATTATAGGATGGAGAAAAGAATACACAAGTAGAATATATTGACTAATCCAAAACATATCATGACCCCAATCATGCCCTGTGTGCTACAGGTTAGTGCTTTCTTAGTTAACTGAGCTTAATGAATGCTAGTAATTACCTTGTGCTCTTTCAGATCCACTTACATTTCCTGAGCACTCAGTATCACCAAGAATTATTTTCGGTAGCAATGAAAAGCTAAAGGTTATGGACCCAAGAAAATAACTTATTAATCATCCAGGCTACTGTAGCCCTAGACACAAGCAGGGCTGGGGAGGAAATCCTTGGCCTTTCCTACTTCCATGTCCACAAGTGGCCAGCTGCTAATATAAATAGTGTGGTCTCTTCTATAATGGAGACATTGATAATTTTCTCTTGTTCATTTTTTAATTTCTACCACCATAACAGTATACCATAGCACCCACTGTTTACTGGCTTATTGAATTAGGCATTAATATAAATCAATTATAATTTCAGGTGAGGGAAGGCTAAAACAATATAAATATATGTAATAAATTATCTTATCATAGAATTTTGCCTGAAAGAAATTAGCCTCACTATCTGTTTTACTAAAGTTGATTGAAATTACTTAGTTGATACTCGTCTCACTAGATTTTGAGTTAGAGAAATTTAGATAGCAATATTTGCACCTAAACTATTTTTAAATGTCTACTGTCCTTTCTTTCTGTATATATGCAAATGACTCAGTATCAGATAGTACCAACATTTGGTATGCATTTATTCACCCTAGTGCCAAGGCTTATTGGCTTATTTAATGCCATTTTTTCTGCTGAAAGCAAAGCAAGATTTATGCTGCACCTCAGGGCAGCTCATGCCTATAATTTCTATTGATTCTGCTGCATTTATTATTGGCTACCTGTCCCTCAAGAAAGATTCACTTACCTTTCTAATTATGAAAAAAGCTTTCAGCCTATAAATCCAAATAAATTCTTATAGACAGTGACTAAATTTACCAAAATAATAATTTAGTACTCATGTGGAATTTCGTTATAATGGAATTCTGGTTTAAAAATTACTTGGGCATTATATTACCACCTTCAGATTGAAGCCCATGATATCACTATCATTTAGATCCAAGCTTGGCATATTTTTACCTTTGTAATACCTGTTTCTTCCAAAAGATATTATGAAAGTGAATAATATAACAATAATTTCACTGTAAAAACTTTGGGGATGATTGTTTTTAACAATTTTTACTGCAGATGTTTTGAATCTGTGGTAGTGTCCTTTATGAACTATGTGCCAATTACTTAGCAAAAGAAATTCTTGTATTCTTAAGGGATATGTCCTGAGACCTTTGAAAATTGCCAAATTCTAATATGACTCTCGTATAATTGTAATAATAAGTATAATTTCACAAGCATACTGTACACCCATCAGTTACCAAAGCTGCTGTACCACCTAAGCTTATTTAACTCAGTTATGTGACTACTGCACACACATATATATGTTTATACACATATATATACATAAGAACACATGCACATGCTCATACAAATGTGCAGACATATATAGATATAGAGAAAGAGGCATACATATGCATGCACATTTATGTCTCAGCAAAATTAGAAATTACTTGATCAAGTAGACACTTGGTGATCATTCATAGCAGTCAAAATTATAAATGTTAAATCCACAAATACCCACACTCATCTCTGGGCATAGCATCTGTTCAGCAAGACTTCTACTCAGAATTATTGCATGTCTTATCAAATACAATTTCTGGTTTTTCACAAAATCACACCAGCTATTTTCTGTATTATTTTGAAATATTTAAAGATGTGCAGAATTTAGAAGCTAAGGAAATAGTGCATTGTGATGATTTTCCATGTTATTATCTTTAGTTATATATGATAAGGAAAATAAAACTCATTCTTACTCCTTAAAATATCCAAAGAAAATACAAAGAATGTGGTACAAAAAATAATTGAATTAATAGCTGAACCTCAGTTCAATTATTTTCTCTGGAATAATAAATTTCAACAGTGATAGCTTCATTTTTTTAACATTTTTTCAGTAGCTTTTTTAACCTTTAATAGAATTTTAACTGCTAAGCTACTGAATTTATATACAATAGCTATACTCCTTTGGGAAAGAATGTGCACATACTGCATAATTCTCTTTTTGGTCTGCACCACCACCACCACCACCACCACCACCACCACCAAATGTCAATAAATTGTTTTTAATGGTTTTTCTATTTCTGCAGACTTAAGTCATCCCTAAGATGTCTCATGTAAGAAAAACAAAAAGGCCAGAGCATTCTTAAAAGGAAGTTGCTTTCAGGAAGTTCCTTTAATTTGTTACCTAGTGGAAAGTTCTTTTTAATGTGTCTGCATGTTTGTGTTCCTTTTGGCCCCTGTAATAAAGACTTGGTGTGATTTTTAATTCTAATTTTAAAAAGAAATAGATTAATTTATAAACTAGTGAAGCACCTACACCATTATGTTAGAATTTTGACTAAAAGGATTTCACATTTTTTAACACCAAAAAGAATTTTGTAATTCTGTTTCTCTGTAACAGTGACTAGGAGCCATGTCTGGGCAGTCAAAGCAAGTGTGGTGGAGGAAACACAGATAGAGATGGAGAGGATATGGAGAAAAAGGAAACCTATGTTAAATTCTGGCCACTTCTTAAAAATCTACATTGCACAGACCTGGCCAAATGAACATATTAATTATCCCACTTCACTAGCAAACAAACTAAGTCAGAAAAGACAAATACTAAAAATTCAAAAAGAAAACACTGGCTAGTAATGCTTAACCTGAATAATTATGTTTTAAATCTTAATTTTAATTTTTATTTACCATATTTTCATATCTAGAAAAAAAAGTGTATGGGCACATGCAAACATATTAATCTGGAAAAGGTAAAACTAGAAAAGCAATGCTGGAAAACAGATAGTCATTGAATAGCTACCTGCTTATTTTGAAGTAACACATACTTTAAACGTGTTGTCTAGATTGAATTTTTCAAATAAACACACATCAATTCATTCCTAACTCAGGAGCTCAAATTCAGTCCCTTTTTTCTCTTTTTTTTCATACTTTTTGATAGGATTATGAAAAAAGAATTCACATAACCAAAGAACAAGAAGAAAACTGAGTTAATTTTCATTAAATCCATTAGATACTAGGAAGACTTCATCTAATGTCATAATAAATCCTATTTTAGAATTTTTCCAAGCAATGCTTTTAAAAAAATACGTGTGGTCAGAATGCAGGTAAGGAGGTTCTGTCGTCGTTTTTCAGAGGAGAACAAACTAAGACCACTAAATGTAACCAGATGAAGCTTAGCAAACAGCCCATTTTTAACATGTTATGATGAGAATAGCCCAGTTCTCCCTTTCTAGGGTAGGAGGACAATTCTTTACACAAAGTATAGTTGCACACTCTCTAGCTGAGCTTTATCAGTAGGGATCCTTTAGAACATGTGCAGAAAATGACATAGGAAATACTGGAGTATCATAGCTCAACCACAGAAGATTCTCTCAGGAAACCAAGCAGTACTTGTGTACCCTACACACTAGGGAAGGAAGGAACCTTTATGAAAATATATGTAAACATACCATTATACTCCCTCCACTGGAGGCTTTCTGATGGTATATGATTGCTTGCTATTACTCAGGTTAGAATATGAAATCACCCAAAATAAAGACGGGCAGGTATTAGTATTTGTTAAAAATAATAAGCAAGAAATCAGCCAAAATGAAATATTTATGAAGAGTTTAAACTTTAATATATATCATTTATGTAAATAAATAAATTTGGTAATCAAAACAGTCATGATTTACTTACACTACGATTCTAATGGCACATTTTTAATAGCATATTTTTGATGCCTCCCCAAAGCTATTTGTTGATAATGCCATAGTACCATAAATCTTGCACTATGCCAGCGTTAGCACTATTTGGGTTTAGTGCAGGGCATATTCTCCCAGAATTAATACAACCTTATAAAATTTATTTTAGGTTATGACTTGGAATATTAGAACTTACATTCTATGTATTATATGGTTTCAATTTCTATTCTAGATGGTGAGATTATACTAAAATTAAGCAAGTTTTAAGTGCTGTGGTTTTTAACAATTGTAACAATTGGTTAATTTTATTCTGATTATTTTTATTCAGGTACTGTAAATAATCTAAATTTTTCCTTAAAATTCAGTGAACAACTCTAAGATGGTTATTTAATTGCATTTTTAATTGCTTCCAAAAAGCTTTCAATTTACAGTTCTTACCCAGTAAATAGTATATAATATTTCCAGTTCAGGATGTATGTTTTTCTGCAATTAAACAAATTTAATTTTACCATGATCATTAGGGACTCTTTTCAGAAAACTATGGTAAACTTCTACTACATCACTAAAGAATGCCATACCATTTTTGCAATAGACCCCGTCCCAGCAAAGCAACATTTTAGACAATGGACAAGAAGATGTATCTCCTAGTGGCCAATGGAATCCTTATCCACTTGGGAGGCGGGATGTACCTCCGGACACCATTACTAAAAAGGTAACCAATTTTTAATTAATGATACAAACCATGAAGCTTGCACAATCTACTACAATATATAATCAATATTTTGTGTCTTATCATCATTTCTAAGTTTGTGATAACTTTAAGGTAAATAATATCCTACTACAGGAGTTTGGTTGACTGTAAGTACACTGAAAAGAATGGAAAATGAACGCTGCCGGCTGTTCAAAGTTGGTAATAAATGTTTATAAACAACGTCCTGCAACCTTTCTACAGATACGCTTTCCTCTTACCACTCACCTTTGAAGTGCACATGTAGAATGATATATGATACACTTCTGACTCTCTTGGCTTTAACAGTGTGTTGTAACCAGTTTGCATAAAAGAAAATTTGATTCACTATTTCTAAAGTTATGACAATTGATTCAGCAAATATTTAGTGAACAACTATATGTACAACTATGTGTGGAGTACTTGCTAGATATTGAGGAAACAAAAATGAAAAAGATACAGTTTCTTACCTCAAGAGCCTTTTTATCTAGTAAGGTGTGCTGAGTGATAAGGAGGTAATTATAATATTACATAACAGATTACCACAGCAGGAGTAAAAAGAAAGCCACAACTTGGGATAAGATACTTGCTACATATATGAGAGAAGAGAGAATTTGTATTCTAAAATATATTTTTAAAGCTCTTACAAATCAGTAATGAAGACATACAACACAGTTTTTTTAAACTGGCAAAATACAAGGGGAATCAGGTGGGTAAATAAATACTAAAACAAAACTGAACCTTTTTATCAATCAGGGAAATGCAAAAGAGATGCCATTTATGTTTACTAGACTGGCAAAAATTAAGAAATCTGAAAAATACAAGTTGTTTGTAGGTATAAGAGCAGTGGAAAGTCTTTTAGACTTCTTATGGGAATATGAAACACCATCACCTTGGTTACAAATTTTCCTGCAAAGCTGAATATGCACATACCCTACATTCTATCAATTCTCCTCTTAAGGTATTAAAGTAGAAAAATTATCATACATGTCATTCAGGGTACATGAAATGTTTCCAATACCAGAAAACTGGAAAAAAACAAATGTTTACCACCAGGAGAGTATGTAAATAAATTATGTTAATCACACAAAGGAATATTTCAAAGCAATGAAAATTAGTAAACTATAATTACAATAATGTGTGTTAACTTTAGAAACATAATTTGAATGGAAAAATGTTTCAGGAGATGGCATAAATATGTAATACCATATTTACAAATCCCAAAACAAGCAAAACTCAAAATATATTATTTAGGCATAAGTACATAAGAAACCTATTATTATAAGTAAATGGTAAATATAGTATTTAGAACTGTGGTTATCTCTAAAGGTAAGGTAGGGGATGGAATCGGAGAAAGTGGATATTATCGTTGGAACTATTCTAATTCTAAAATTGAATTATGGTTCTTTACACTCTACTTTTTAAGCTCATGAGTGTTCATTTTATAATTGTGCTTTGTAACCTACATATGTATTACATACTTACATTCTTTATAACCTAAGTGATTTTTCCCTTGATGACTACTTCAGTGCTTTCAAAAAATGCATTAAATATCAAATTTTATTTTATCCAAAATATTTGGTAATGCCACTGATTTACAGGCATTTATTTTATGCATGTTATTAATTTGACTATTGGGTAATATTCAGCATCATAGGTAAACATAATATGATGTGGTTAATGCTAAGAAGATGGGATACAGGGCTATGACACCACCTGGAAAGGGTACCTGTTTAGTGAGGAAACTAAGAGCAGTGGTGTCAAATAAGGCTAGAGGGATATGCAGGAGCCAGATGATGCTGGGATTTATCCTGTGGGAAATGAGAATGGGAATATAAAGTGTTTTAAACAGAGAAAGGACATGATCAAATTTTTATTTAAAGAGCCCTCTGACAGCTTTTCAGAGAATGAATTAGCGAGGAGAAAAACTGGAGCCAATAGAACTAGTTAAGATTCTATAGTAATTCAGGTGAAAGTAAATGGAAACAATGGGTGATGGAAAGAAATGCTGTATTAGTCCATTCTCACATGGCTATAAAGAACTACCTGAGACTGGGTAATTTATACAGAAAAGAGATTTAATTGACTCACAGTTCCTCAGGCTGTATAGGAGGCATAGCTAGGAAGGCCTCAGGAAACTCACAATCATAGTGGAAGGCAAAGGGGAAGCAAGCATGTCTTCACATGATTGTAGGACAGAAAGTGAGAAGGGGGAAGTGCTATATACCTTTAAACAAACAGATCTCATAAGAACTCCATCACAAGAAGAGCAAGAGGAAAGTCCACTCCCATGATATAAACACCACCCACCAGGTCCCTCCTTCAACACATAGGGATTACAATTCGACATGACATTTGGGTGGGGACACAGAGCCAAACCATAACAAATTCATAGATCCAATATCATGATAAATGTTAGAGCCAAAACAATCTTGTGATTGGACATAGGGCATAGAGATAGATAAAAGTTCCAAGGTTGATACCCAAGCTTCTAATTTGGTCAGGGGAGTGATGATGTTCCATTCACTAAGATGGGAAATACAGAAAGAGTAATAGGTGGAAGTGGAGGAAGAGAGAAGAGTTTAGGTTTTTACATGTTGATTTGAGGTAGTTTTAAGGCATCCAAGTGGAAATGTTCAGTGGATGTTTGGATATATTTATCCTAAGTTCAGTAGAGAAATCTTAGCTGGAGATACAAATTTAGGAATCATCAGAATATGTGTTATTGAGCCATGAATGAGGCAGAAGGATGACACAGAACTCCATGGAACACCAACATTTAAGAGATGTACAGTACATAGGAAAAATAGGCAGAAAAGAAATAATCAAAGATTGGATCAATACAGTGATTTTACTGCAAGCTGTAGAAAATTCAAGGGAGACACTGTTGAACTTCAAGGAAACACTTCACTAAACATGAGAAGTAGTTGAGGTTTACACTATGCCTCAACTTTAGTACTTTGTTCTCCCTTATTAAATACTTAGGGATTTATTTTCCCATTCCGCTCTGCCACCACACTGTTGGCTCTATCCTAAAATTGGTTTCTCTCGTAATTATAAGATTACTACCAATGACGATTGGTAATATGAGCTTCCTCTTTCAAATCCAGCAAGAGAGAGAAGCAAGCTTCCAGTAGCTGTCTCTTATGTGCAAAACCTTCCTTCCCTGAGTCTTTCAACAAGCCTCATCTTGCATCTCACTGACCCAAAATAGCTAAGGACTTCCCATCCTAGAAAAAGAAATGGAGTTTTATGATTGGCTTTGGCTGATCAGTTGGAATAGAGTAGATGGGGCTCTCAATTTCAATGACCGCTAAGAAACATGTAAAAGGAAAAACAAGGGAAAGTGGCACCTTGGAAACAGTGAGGGAAAAAATGTTTTAAGGAGGGAATGATCAACTGTCAAATGATGCACAAAAACGTCAAGCAAGATAAGTATGACTAAAGGCTCCTTGGATTTAGCAACAAGGAGGTTATTGGTGATATCAGCAAAAGCAGTTTGCTTAAATGATGGGATGGAATCCATAGGAATCTACATTAAAGGGTAAGTAAAGAAACCTATAAAACTCAAGAAAGAAGTAATGTACTAAATGTACTGTGTCTTCTTCCTACTATTATGATAAGCAGGTTCTGATTATCCCATATTATAGCAATTTTGCCTAAAATCTGAGATTCCTGAACCTATACATAGATATGTCCACCTATCACCTCTCAGAGTAGAGAGAATAAGGACCACTTTAAATATTCAAATTTAGTTTATATTACATATTGTATATTAGTTGAATAGTCAAGTTAATATTCAGTGAGAATCAACCTAAGGAAAGAAAAATGGTCATAGGAGTATTAGCCTGGGCTGCAAAATTTGCTGAAATAGATGCGATAATTGTACTATTAGTTATTGGGTTTCTATTTGACTCTACAATGATATTTTTAAAAGTTAATATTATTTTTGCAATTGTTATGGAGTGAGTACTTAGGCTAGACATAATGGGAATGGAAAGATAGAAAGTGAACTATAAATTGAATGGGGAATCAAAGGAGAATAAGTGGTGAAGAATTCTTAGCCAGTGTCTGATTTGAGTCTATTTCTCCAAGCCTCTGTAGATTTTTTTTTTTAATCTTGTTTCTCCAACTAAGCCATCAGAAAACACAGTAATACTGTAGGGATTTGGGGGGAAATTATGGAAAGTCTTTGACTGAACTTGTGGCTCTCTGTTGTGGCTATCATAGATTTTTAGTTACTCATGGCCATGCCAGCCAGCACTTCAAGCGCTACAGAGAACAAATATGGGTATCTTCCAAGCTGTGGATCCAAAACTTAGACACATAAAGTAATTGGACAAGAAGTGTTTATTTCTCAGAATTTTGCTTCTGTCCTATGCACCTGAGAGTGACAAAGTGATGGAAAAATGCCAAGAGTGTTAAATGCTGTCTTTTTTTTTTTTTTAATGGAGTAAAATTAGGTGGTAGATGTTATTCCTTTCTTGCTATGCAGTCCCAGAGTCACTATATATATATATATATATATATAGCATAATCTTGCTCTGTCGCCTACCTGTCTCTTATACACATCTAGATGTGTATAAGAGACAGATATATATATATATATATATATTGCATAATCTTGCTCTGTCGCCTACCCTGGAGTGCAGTGGCACGATCTCGGCTCACTTCAGCCTCCCCGTCCTGGGTTCAAGTGATTATCATGCCTCACCCTCCCAAGTAGCTGGGATTGCAGGCATTCACCACCATGCCCGGCCAATTTTTGTATTTTTAGTAGAGACAGAATTTTGCCATGTTGGCCAGCCTAGTCTCAAACTCCTGACCTCAAGTGATCTGCCTGCCTTAGCTTCCCAAAGTGCTGGGATTACAGGCGAAAGCCACCATGTCCAGCCCAAAATCTCAAATTTTGATGTCTGTTAGTGTAAAAAGTTTAGGATTCACTGCTAGAAGAACATTTTATAGCTATGTAAATCCCCCACCCA